TACATTCAACGTACTTATGTGAATATACTCGTATGAGTGCACTTACTGAACATTCTCATAAGAATATTAAGAACATACTCACTTCTGTGTGACATAATTTTTTTTTACGTTCTCATATGAGTGCACTTACTGAACATGCTTATGGGAATATTAAGAACATACTCATGGGTATGTACACTTATGAATACACTTCCTAAACATACTCATGAGCATATAATGAACATAATTACATCTATATAACATTTTCAAAAACGTCGACCAACTTAAAACTCGAACTTAGAATACATTTTTATGTAACTCGACATTTTCAAAAATGTCGACCAACTTAAAATCGAACTTAGAATACATCTTTATGTAAGTCGACATTTTCAAAAATGTCAACCAACTTAAAATATAACTTAGAATATATTTTAATGATAGTCGACATTTTTTAAAAATGTCATTTTTAAGTTTTCTGAAATAAATGTCAAGATTTTCTCAAAGAATTAAATTAAAAATTACTTTGCTTTTAAAAAACTATAAGAATTAAGCACGATCAAAATCTTTTGGCTTTCATGGAACTAATATTTGAATTCATAAAATATTTTCAAAAAATGTCGACCTGCATAAAAACGTATTCTAAGTTTAATTTTAAGTTGGTCGACATTTTTCAAAAAATTTTTCAAAAAATGTCGACTTGCATATAAATGTATTCTTTGTTCGATTTTAAGCTGGTCGACATTTTTGAAATGTCGACTTACATAAAAATGAGTTCTAAGTTTAAGTTTAAGTTGGTCGACATTTTTCATAATATGTTCTCACGATCGTGGTCTGATAAACTCAAATATTTCATAAAAATAAAGTTCAATTAAGCAGCGTATCAAACTTCAAAGAACTCAGTTTACCTGTAATAATATAATAATTTAAGTATGTGTTTTGCCATATAAAATTATTAATTATATATTTACAGAAAATTACTCCAAGGAAAAGTGTGAGGTGACAGAAGTTAAGCAACGCAATAGGTTTTTCTACAAGGATGGGTGACCGGTTTTAAAAATTCCTTCTTAAGTATTTGAGATAAAATGTTAATGATAATTTCTAACTCTTCCAAAATTATTCACAGAATTATCCTTATAAAACTCTAAGACTTTAACTGATTGCACTCATGCATGTGCTCAGATGAGCATATACTCATAAATAAACTCACTGAGCATATATCTTTTGAGTATCTTCATGAGTATAAGCTCTTTGAGTATGTTCATAAGTATATTCAATAAAAAATGTTGCATTAAAAAAATGTTTCGTGTGGTATGTTGTCTTCTCATTTGAGTATGCTTATGAGTTTACTCAGTGAGTTTAATGCTTGTCACATAGGAATGTGCTCACTGAGCATACTCAAAAAGGTACCGTGATCGCATCACTTTAATGTATGAAATGAGCACATTCTCACAAAAGTTTGCAAGCTCACAAATAATGTGCTCTGAGTATACTCATTGTATGAACGATATCGTTCGCAAAGTACAGCATCACAAAATTTGTATGAAAAAAATTGTTTGAACTGTCATAAATTCTTCTTCTTACACTCCTTAAAGCGTGACGTAATTTGCGAACGACGAATTTTAGGGCTCTAATTTGAACATTTTATAAGCATTTTTTTTTTTCTCCATTCTGAGTTTTCATCTGTTATTAGAGATACAAATTGCATGGAAACAACAATGAATTAGAGTTTTGATTGTAGCCATATGCTTCATAAAATAGAGGGGAATTCTAGGGTTCTTAAAATAATCTATTTTATGGTGGGTTTTGTGATGAATAAACCATTCTGATTTTTGGAGTTTTTACCACGTTTTTCTTAACTTGCTTTCTTGTCTTTCTGTCTTTCTGTCTTTCTGTTTGTCTTGGTCAAATCTTGCAATCAATTTTTCGACCACTTCTACTGCTCCAATCGAGCTGAAATTTTGCATGCACTTATATTTCCGATGACAATACAATATTTTAACACTTTGGAAACACAAAAATGCTTAATTATAGTACAATTTATGTAAAAGTTTTTTATATGGGAAAAAATCCAATGTCAATGATATAAAATTTTGATTTGTATTAAATATTATACATGTGATGCTCTAAAGTCATTTATATGATTCATTATAGTTTAATTAATATTACTAATTATTAATTATACCATAAATTTGAGCAACTAAAGATATTCTGGTAAGACAAAAAAATTGACATGTAATTTTTTCATGAATATTCGTAAGTGAAAATTTGAATTTTCAAAAAAACCGTTAAGCACAAGTCCGTTACGAATTAATGCAAAATAACTATTAATATGCGATGTGCATTTAACACACATAGTTTGAGCATAAATTTATGCTGTTTTAAATGTATTGCATTATTTATAACACTTCACCAACTTAATTAAATTGACTTTTCTTTTTATTAACGGCTTGACGTATTTTTGCATAACATATAAATGATATTCATTGAATTTAAATTTGAAAATCCGTTATAAATACGTTACATATGTGATTTGCATCTTTATAGTAAGAATCCACACGTTATGAAGTAGAAATGGTACAGATAAACACAAAATCTTTACGAGTGATTTTTAATGTACTTTACTAATGAATGCTTTAAAAAAATTAAATTTTATAAAACGAATGAAAAATTTTGAAAGTCGTTACTAATTTCCCATTGAAAACTGGTAATTTATAAACAGTTGAACGTAACGGAGTGAAACGGAGTGGAGTTCAACACACCTGTAACCTATAAACCTACTGTAATCTATAAACAGTTGAACGTAACGAAGTGAAACGAAGTGGAGTTCAACACACCTGTAACCTATAAACCTACTGTAATCTATAAACAGTTGAACGTAACGAAGTGCAACGAAGTGGAGTTCAACACACCTGTAACCTATGAACCTACTGTAATCTATAAACAGTTGAACGTAACGAAGTGCAACGAAGTGAAGTTCAACACACCTGTAACCTATAAACCTACTGTAATTTATAAACAGTTGAACGTAACGAAGTGCAACGAAGTGGAGTTCAACACACCTGTAACCTATGAACCTACTGTAATCTATAAACAGTTGAACGTAACGAAGTGCAACGAAGTGAAGTTCAACACACCTGTAACCTATAAACCTACTGTAATCTATAAACAGTTGAACGTAACGAAGTGCAACGAAGTGAAGTTCAACACACCTGTAACCTATGAATCTACTGTAATCTATAAACAGTTGAACGTAACGAAGTGCAACGAAGTGGAGTTCAACACACCTGTAACCTATGAACCTACTGTAATCTATAAACAGTTGAACGTAACGAAGTGCAACAAAGTGAAGTTCAACACACCTGTAACCTATAAACCTACTGTAATCTATAAACAGTTGAACGTAACGAAGTGTAACGAAGTGAAGTTCAACACACCTGTAACCTATAAACCTACTGTAATCTATAAACAGTTGAACGTAACGAAGTGAAACGAAGTGGAGTTCAACACACCTGTAACCTATAAACCTACTGTAATCTATAAACAGTTGAACGTAACGAAGTGCAACGAAGTGGAGTTCAACACACCTGTAACCTATGAACCTACTGTAATCTATAAACAGTTGAACGTAACGAAGTGCAACGAAGTGAAGTTCAACACACCTGTAACCTATAAACCTACTGTAATTTATAAACAGTTGAACGTAACGAAGTGCAACGAAGTGGAGTTCAACACACCTGTAACCTATGAACCTACTGTAATCTATAAACAGTTGAACGTAACGAAGTGCAACGAAGTGAAGTTCAACACACCTGTAACCTATAAACCTACTGTAATCTATAAACAGTTGAACGTAACGAAGTGCAACGAAGTGGAGTTCAACGCACCTGTAACCTATGAACCTACTGTAATCTATAAACAGTTGAACGTAACGAAGTGCAACGAAGTGAAGTTCAACACACCTGTAACCTATGAACCTACTGTAATCTATAAACAGTTGAACGTAACGAAGTGCAACGAAGTGAAGTTCAACACACCTGTAACCTATGAACCTACTGTAATCTATAAACAGTTGAACGTAACGAAGTGAAGTTCAACACACCTGTAACCTATAAACCTACTGTAATCTATAAACAGTTGAACGTAACGAAATGCAACGAAGTGAAGTTCAACACACCTGTAACCTATGAACCCCCTATAATCTTTATTTCTCTATTTCATTAGAATAAGACTAAAAAGTTGAAAATAAAATACTTTATAAAAAAAACTTTTTAAAAAAACTACGTTTTTCGCGTAGACTAAAAAGTAGAAAATAACTTTTATTCTTGGTTGTAAAGAATTTGGTTTTAAATTTTCAGATTATATTTAATAAATTTTTATATCCTAGTCAATATTGTTCACAAAGTTTCGAATAAGTGCACTTTGATCTTATCGTATAACTCAACAACTTAAAAACGTGGGCGAATTAATTTAAGTTTATCATAAAGTATTGATTTCACATAAACTTATTTCTCCTCTTATAATGCGCCCACGTTTTTAAGTTGTTGAGTTATACGATAAGATCAAAGTGCACTTATTCGAAACTTTGTGAACAATATTGACTAGGATATAAAAATTTATTAAATATAATCTGAAAATTTAAAACCAAATTCTTTACAACCAAGAATAAAAGTTATTTTCTACTTTTTAGTCTACGCGAAAAACGTAGTTTTTTTAAAAAGTTTTTTTTATAAAGTATTTTGCCTATTAGTTTAATTTTCAGATTTTTATAACCGTTAACTTAATTTTGCAGGTAACGGTTCATAAAAATTTGAAAACTTTACGAAGATTCAAAAAAATCGGAAAAGTGAGATTTCAAATTTTTTAAATTCGGTTTTATAATAGGCACTCTGATTTTTGATATATGTTGGACATGATAAGCACACGACGCCCAATAAACTATGAATTTTTTATAGTGATTGATTAAAATGTGTGAAAAATGCTCATGCTTCTTATTATTTTATTATTTCTCTTCTTTTTTTTTTGATGCCATAAAATTAATCCTGTTTATGGGTATCATAATTTTCTGTAAATTTTAATCATTTTTTTTTATGTTTCTTATTCTTCTAAATTATTTTCTTCGTATTCATTGTCTTCATCTTCATCGAAAGTGGATTGCGAATAATCAATTTCATAGTCCTGATCAACGTCACTATCATCTCCATTATTAAACATGTCACTATCGCTGTCAAAAATGTCATCATCAACATCATAATTCTGAATATTACGATTTCTATTTCTGTTTGGTGGTTGATTTGCAGGCGGCGGTACTTGTTGGATCTGTATGTGAATCTGCGGCGGTCTTTGAGTTGTGTAAGAGTCTGCTTTTTAACGTTAAAAAAAATGATAGCAAAAATCAGCATTACATTATTTGGTATATAGAAGCTTTTGAGGAAAAACTTTGTTTTCAAGTAATGTATTTACCCGTATTTACTTAACATCAAATTATATATATCAAACAAAGGAAAACAATTTTCATACAAATTGTAACAAAGGTTGAGGGGGATATAATCAAGCCCTAACATTTACCCATTATTTTTATTGCATTAATTTTTTCATTACCTGATGATGGATGCGCCATTTCCCGAAAATGTTCAGGATTCCGTCTGTAGCATGCATCCCAATAAGGACATCGAGGTGCTAATATATAAAATAAATGCTTAAATATAGCTTAGGAAATGTAAACATGTACACATACCATTTACAGAAGCTGCAGGAAAATTTGGTCTTCGATAGTCATTGTCCATCGGATGTGCATATTCTCTTCGATGGTCATCAGTCATACGATAACAACGAATGCCAAATTCACAACTTGATCTTACTGTTTGTTGCTGACATGATGAATTCCCAGGACTTTCTTCCTTTTTTACTGTACTGGTATCAACTTTCACATCTGAATTAGACGATGATGGATGTTGATCATTATTCTCGGCTGATTCTGTTTTTATCTTTGAAGTTGTTGGGACATTTTGATGTGTTAGATTCTGTTGATTATTAATTTCTGTACTGTCTGGATCCGGTTTAATATTAGGTAATAAAGTGCAACTATTTGAATTACTAGATTGAGGCACCACAAATGAGTCAGACGTTTTTGGTTGTACATTTTCAGAGGTAGTACTTGAGGGCACTTGTGTGTAAGGGATTTGCTTCTGTTTTTTCATTTCATGATTCTCAGTTTCTAAAGAATTATCGAATGATCTTTTGCGATTGGAAGAAGAGACAACCTGTGCAACAAGAGCCTCTTCTTGATTATTTTGAAAGTTTTCCGGTGGTCGTAAATCATCTGGTGATGGAGTCCTATCTAAATCAGGTGTTTCACGTCCTTCTAAATCTGGCGTTTCACGTCCTTCTCTTAATAACTGTGTTAAATTTGCATTTATTTCATCGGTCTGGCGAATACGGAATGTTGATGATGTGGGATTTTCATTCTGGTCATTTTCTTGTTCAATTTTTATGATCCATTCAAATTCTTCAGGCAGGAGAGAAAATCTATCAGAATCACCTAAAATAACTTCAGAGTCTTTCCACAGTACATTTTTCTTTGGATCATTTTTAATTTTGTAAAATATTGGATTCTGATGACAAGATTTTATCTTGATTGTTGAGTCTATAACGGTTATTTCACCATGCTTCTTAGACACTCTTTTATCCTGGCACTTATTAAAAAATTATTTTGTGATATTGTGAAATTGCACAATCAATTTTTAAAAAACTTAATTTACCTCGAAAAATCCTCTGCCAATGATTGTAATCCCGTCATTTGAAAGCACAATGCTTTGGTTCATCAAATTGTTAAATAAACTTACTTTAACAACCATTATTAACTCACATTTATCAATTTATTTCAAAATATGCTTTTAAATGTTATTTTGTTTATACCCGCATAAAACAGTTGTGCTCAAGCATTTGCCTCGAAAAAAAAATCGAGAATGACATAGGTACAAGTTTTAATATTATACTTTTATAAAACAAACGCGTCTTTATTAACATGCCTACAGAGATTTTGTCAGGCAATTCTAGATTTAATAGATTCAATTAAATTTATTTGCTTTGATTATACTGGATTATACTTAAAGTATCCTAAAAAGGTTGAAGAGCACTGAGATAATCAATTGGAAAAAAGGCGCAAATTATTTCAAATTTATTTTCTTCGTTGTGACTTCCACGCGAAACATTACCGTCGCAAAGAAATTGTGCGTGAATGTCGCTGTTTATTTCTTGATTTTCTCTTTTCTCTTAAAAGTTCACACCTTTTGACATAGACATACCTAAATGAACAAAATTAAGTTAAACATTTTTTTAATCTTTTTGGTTTTAAATTGTTTGTTTACAAACACAAACATAAATGAAATTTGAAGTCATGAAAATATCACTCAATACTGATGTTTTAGCTTCTGAAATATTTTGGATAGCTTCAGAATAAAATGTTTGTCTTATTTAAACCTTAAATTTCGTGTTAGGCAATTGAATTATTGAGATTTTTAAGAAATCAATTTTTGGTGTTTTGTTTTGATTATATTAGTGCGAAATTCAAATTTCATTTTTCCGTTGAGCAAAAAACCTTAAAAAAACTCGAAGCCCTATACTGGGGGTCCTCGATTTGAGTAGTTGTTTTGTTCCAAAAAATTTCTACTCAAATCGAATCTATTCAAATCGAGGCAAAGAATCAATACAAAATTACATGTTTTGTTCCAGAGTCCAAAAAATATATCAAAACAATGAAAATTTTGATCATTTTTTGCACATTTTACCTCGTTGCTTAACTTTTCCTATGTGTTTTAGATAACTTAATTTATTTCAAGGCACATTCATATTGTTTTTAAACAGAAATTCACAAAAAATATGTTTTTGAAACAAAACAAAAATATGAGAACCTTGCAAATGTTAATTCACTGAACAATTTGTAAGGTTTTTGAATTTGAACTTTTAATTTTATAGCGATTTTTTAAATTTTTACTTTAATTTTGTAACTTTAGTATTGATTTTTCTATCAATATGATAAGTTCACGCTTATTGCAGTAAAATTTATGTTTTAAAAATATTTTCTGAAATGTTTTTATCAAAAATGTTTGTTTTGTAAACAGTTCAAATCGAAGAAAACAGGAAGAAATCTACTCAAATCGAATATTTTGGTGGGTAAAAATTTTTCTGTTCAAATCGAATCTACTCAAATAGAATCTACTCAAATCGAGGACCCCCAGTATTAATAATTATAGTAGATTTATTTCTGTTAAATTCATATTGGTGTATTTAAAATTTTACATTAATTTGTATTCATTTCAATCAATATTAATGGGAGTTGGTTTCTTGGGTTCTACAATAATGACATCTTCATCATTCGAATTGACTGTTGATGAAATTTTTGTATGTGACTCTGCATTTGAGGATCTAGAATTCTTTCGTGATTTGTTTAAATTATCATCACTGTATCTTCGTTTTCTATTGGAATGATTAGCTTTAAAATTGTTATCATTATGTCTACTTCTGTTTGAAAAACTGTGACGATCGTTGCTTGATGAACGCGATGATGCATAGGATGAACGAGACGTAGAACGTGAAGTGTCAAACCTAGGCTTTTTATTATATCTAAAATTTGAGCTGTTGTGGTTGAAATTATCACGATGGTCATAAGATGAATGAGAGGTAGTTGGAAAATTATTTCTGTAATTGTTATTGTAACTTCTGTTCAAATTTGAGTTTTCGCGATGGCTGCCTGCAAATTTATTATAACTTGAGTAATCGCGAGAATGATTTGAAGTTTCGCGCTTGTTTTGTGGAAATTGATAATGATCATTATTCAAAGATTTACGACGGGGTGTTTTTGTTTCATTAAAATCCTCAAAATATGATTTCAATTTCTGTAAAGGTGGCAATTCATACACTCGAGATGGATTGAATTCAATATCGTTATCTGTTGGTACTTTTGGACCTTGAACTATGTATGAATTGGTTGAATATGCTGTGTAATGAAAATCTTCTCGCAAATAATCGTTGATGATTAAGTAAACCAAAATTTGCTCTCCATAAAAACGGTCGATATTTGGTGGAGGCATATTATCAACTCTTGCAGATTTTGTTCCTTTTTGAAACCAGGCATCGAGGAGCTTTAAGGCAGTAAGCTTTGTATCAGTAGATTTTGCTTTATCAAGGATTTTTAACAAGGAACGGTAATGCTCTACTATATCTATTTCAGGAGGCTTAACAACGCGAACATCCTTTTTATGAAAACAGCAATCACACATTTTACCACAGTTTTTATCATTCCAGACTTCTGTAAAATGTTTAGCAAACTGATCCCGTCTGCATTTCTTTGAATTTATTGCATAGTTAATCATCGAATATGCATTCTTTAGTCCATCAGATTCTACAAATGTCATGCACGAAATTTTAAACATATCAGCCATTCGATACATTAATATGCTTTCAGCATATTTTCCATCACGTCCACATCGACCAGATTCTTGGTAAAAGTTTTCCATAGATTTACTCATGGTGTGATGAATAACGAACCGAACATCCTGCTTATCAATTCCAAGTCCAAATGCAATAGTTGCTACAACAGCTTGAATCTTATTTTCCATCCATTGATGATAGTATTTCGATCTTTCTGCTGCATCGAGTTGTGCATGATAAGGACGAACTTTAATGTCTCTTTTAAGTAGCTCATTTGTCAGCGTTTCAGTATCTTTGATAGAAAAAGTATATATTATGCCTGACTTTCCTTCATACCGGTTAGACAATAAATCAGCTATTTTATCATAACATGCTTCATTTTCTGAAGGCTTATCGATAACATGGTAATATAAATTTGGCCTGTTAAATGGTGAATTGAAGATTATACACCCTCGAATATTCAGTATTTTTTGAATATCAATCAAAACTTTACGAGAAGCTGTTGCTGTTACTCCTAAAATTGGTGTATTTGGGAATAAAGTTTTCATATTTCCCAAAAACTTGTAATCTGGTCTAAAATCATGACCTAAAACTGAGACTGAATGTATTTCATCGATTGCAATTCTATCCAATTTCGCATTATGGTAACATTTTTGTAGTGCTTGCATAAATCTCTTGCTTTTACTCATTCTCTCCGGTGTCACGTATAATAATTTCATTTGATCAGAAGTTGAAAATAATGGATCTTCAAGAATAGTATGAATAATTTTTGTTTCTTCCTTCGTGCTGTTTGCAGAGAGCATTTTTGCAGGTATTCCCCTTTTTTTCAACGAATGTAACTGATCTTCCATTAAAGAGATTAATGGTGACACAACTAATGTGATTCCTTTATCGACCAGTGCAGGAAGCTGATAAGTTAATGACTTACCAGCACCAGTCGGTGCTACATATATCAAATCATGTTTAGATAGTGTAGCATTAATTGTCTGGAGTTGCATGGATCTTAATTTTTCAATGTTGAATGAAGATTTTAATATTTCACGAACATTTTTCGACCACGAATATGTTTCTATAATTAAATAAATGTGATGTGTGAAGGAAAGTTATGAAATATCATTAAAATTATGTTTTTACCATTTTGCCATTCCGTTTGAGATAATTTTTCTGATTTTTCAAAGTTCTTCTTGTCTGTAAGTTTTTCTTTTTCAGCTAAAAGTTTTTGTTTCAAGTTCTTTAGCCTATCAAGCTGTTCATCAATATCCTTCAGTCTTCCATTGATTTCATTGATTCTATCATCATCATTCCTCATGATAATTCATTAAATATAACTTAAATCAATTAAAAACTTTATTTTTATTTAAAAAATGTTGTTTATTTTTTTTTTGCGGCAAAAATGCTTTAATAAGTTACGTCACATTTTTATTTGAAAACGTTTTCGAATTTTTCTATAACGGTTTTTCTGAAAATTGTTGCAAGTAGTCTTTCTCCAATTCATGAAGATTATTTGCAGGAAGGACTAAAGAGTGAAGCGGTGGACCTAAATCAAAATTCTTCATTTCCGCTAAGGAACATGCAATGATTTTTTGGCTTTCATGACCAATGCGTGCAAGTCCAACAAATATACTATTTTCATCAAATGCTATCTCTTGAATTCCTTCAGACTTCTTTTTCTCCACAATCTGTAACAGTTGATCTGCAGCTTCGGAAACGCTCATAAATTTTGGTGGCATATATTCCTTCTTCTTTTTTGTCATTGATTCCAAAGTTGGTTCTTTGACTTTAATATCAAGTAAGCATAAAGTATGAAGACCGTGTTGACGATTAGCATAAATTTTTTCATAAAAACTATCTGGTTTCCAAGAATCTGTCCAAAACGGAATCGATATCGTTTCACCATAATGATACAATTGTAAACCACAAGATCCAACAGCATTCATAATGCTCGCATTATGAATAATTTGAAATTTAATTCCTCTTTCTTTGGCTCTTAAAATAAGGTCCGTATGAGTTGTTGCCGAAAATGGATCTCCAACAACCAAAAAAGCTACTTCCTTTGTTTCAGCATTATTCAACATTATATCAGCTTCTTGCTCTACAAAATCTCGGTCAGCAACAGTAATCTCCTTCCCATAAAGTTTCTCCTAAAAACCATAATTTCAATTTTTAATTTGGTAAATAGTATTATTTTTTTTTTTGTTTACCATTTCTTCCTTTCCACATGTCAAAATCGAAGTATAAGATTCTAAATAGACTAATTCACATCGTTTAATAATTTCTAATCCTTTCACAGTGATGTCTCTTGCATCTCCCAGACCAAGTCCTATCACATAAAGCATCTTTAGATATTTTTCGATTAGATTAGCTTAAATTTTACAAAAATTATATTCTCTGGATCTGTAAACGTAATATAAACAATCAAAACATTGAACTTCCATGTGATGCACATTGATGATTATACTTAACACGTTTTTTTCCCTTTTGAATTTCAGATGCTTAATGCAAAATATTAAGAAGTAATAAAGCATCTAAATTTAAAGTCTTTAAAGTTATCATACACAGTTTTCTCATTTCTTGCAGCATTTAAATAAAAAAATGGGTGATTAAACGACATTACAGTAAATTTGAAACCCCTAATTAACATGTGCGTTTTATTAATTTTTCTTAAAGGTCTCATCAAAAAGATAAAATGGGATAGTGTCTGCATCGAGAATACTTTAACATTTTCGAACAGACTCATGTGAAAGCCAAGGGTGTGGTCCTGATGAAATGACCAAAAATGTAATTCTTCAGTTCCACACCCTTGGTGAAAGCAAGCAATTATATCTTTGGACTTTGTCATGCAATTTGCATAAACCTTGTCTTTATCAAAATGAAAGTTTAGAGCTACATCCTGCATCGTTATGCATGTTAACAAAGGATTTATTTTCTCTAGTTCCAACGAATAAGAAGAAAGTTTATAATTTAGGTAAAGCTGAGTAGTTGGTTGCAGAGTATGTTGAAAAATTGTTAAACTGTAAATAGGTGATATTGAAATAAAACAAAATGAACAAAATATGAGTTTTTAATACTTTATTTCGTTGAGTTGGATGTTGCGATTTTCTTGAAAACCGCTCTTAATTTTTTCTTCTTTTTTGAATCAATCGTTTCAATTAAAATTATTAACTTAATCTAAGTCATTTCATGCTATCAAGTTTAATCCATTTAAATTTTTGTTTGCATTTTTTTAAAATTATTCTATTAAAGAGGACATGGATTAATAAAAAGTTTATATTATTATTTTGTGTTTGTTTTAGATTGAGATATTTAAGAAGTTTGATCAAAAATTGTATAATTTAAATAGTTAATTACAATCCTGGAACTGTTTTATAAATAGATAGACATTGGAGAGAAAATTTGTTTATTTCTGAAAAAAAAAGGATTAATAAAGGCATTCATAAATTATAGTAATATTTTACCTGTTGCGGAGAATTTTGAGGTGGTGTAGTAATTTGCTGATTCGGTGATGCTTGTTGACTTGATGACTGATCAATAGTTGAAATTTGTTGCTGCACATTTTGTTGTGTCTTTTGAACATTTGAAATCCTTCGATTTCCGATTACTTGAAGTAAATTTGGGCTATCACTTCCTGAAATCATCTTAATAGCCTGAACAGGTTGTAATCTTATGTTGCTGCCAATTCCTCTCGTCGATGGTGTTACAAACTAAAATAAAATTAAAGAACTTTTTAGACTTTGATGGAAATAAAAATGATGTGATTTGGAATTACCTGAAGAGTTTCAGTTCTTGTTTGAGATACAGAAACAGGAATGACATTGCTTACACTTGAATTGCTCAAAAATATTCCGGGTGATTTTATCGATCGTACATCAATATATTTTCCCTCTTCTTTTCCCTGCTGTAATATCAATTTATTTTGAGTTACTTGAGCAATTCTTGCGACTTTTGGAGTAGTCTTTCGAGCTCCTTGTAATGTACTCATAGTCATTGTTTGAGGAATCGCAACTTGTCGAACAGTAGAATTTTGAGCTAATCCCGCTCTAACAGGCGACAATTTCATATTAATTTGACTCGTTCCTGCGACTGTAGTAATTCCAGATGGCGCTGATGTTTTAATTAATGTCGTAATTTGCTGTCCACCACTCGTAGAGCCACTAGCTTGCTGCAGCTGAAGATTTCCAGATTGAGCATATGCAATTTGCGTTGGCGTCGTCAATTGTATTGGTGAACTCTTAAATTGTTGTGGAATTTCTCGTTGAAGCATAACAAGTTTTTGATTTCCTTGCCCAATCGTTTGAGTCGTTCCTACTTGCTTTATAAATTGAGCTCTTTGCTGCGGTCCGCATCCAACCTGTACCGTAACACTTGAAGATCCCTGTTGATTATCCACATTACCTTCGGTAACAGACTGCGTCTGTTGTATTGTACCAGCTTGAGTTGTTGGATTTATAGTTGCAACTGTAATTTTTTGTCCAGAGCCACTCTGTACTTGTACAGTTTGAGCAACACCACTACTTGAACTTACAACAGTCGTTTGAGGAGATCCAGATTGATTTATTGGACCAGTTTGAAGAAATCGTAGCTTTTGTCGAACTTGTTGTTGACCATAAATATGAAATTGTGGAGTTGTGACTAGTTCAAATCGTTTAGTTCCAGTAGCAACAACTTTTTGATCAGGCGTTGAAGCTCTTATTTGATTTGGCTGGTAATTTGATGTGAATCTTAATGTTGCATTTTGAAGTTGTGTCAAACCTTGTCCTGTTAAGCCACTTAGTGAAATTACAGTTGGATTTTGCTGGCCAGGTCTTTGAAAAATAACTTCTTTCGAGACTGAACGCTGACGAATTTGAGAGTTTGTAGAAATTGCAGTTCCTTGAGGATTTGGCGTTAAACTTGATGATCCAATTGCAAGTTGTGAAACAGATACGACTTGTGAACCAACTTGTTGTGGATTAATAGTTTGAACAATTGATCCTGAAGTTACAATTGGAGTACTGGTGGCAACAGTCGGTTGGATAGAGACAATTTGCGGCTGAACACTAGTCACAGTCGTTGGAGGAGATGTTAAAACGACAGAAACTGAGGACGTTTGAATTAAATTTGATTGAGAGTTTTGCATTGATTGTGGATTAATATGAATTTGTGGAATGATTCCAGTTAGCAATGTTGTTTGCTGTCCTGTTGAAGGCGATGCAACAATCGCTTTCATTATTTGTTGTGACTGCTGAGCAGATCCACTTGACGTTAAATTTATTCTTTGTGTTTGTATTTGAGATCCATGAACGAGAGCTGTTATTCCTTGTTGTTGAGATTGCTGTGATGTAACTATAGTTCCACTTGGCTGAACTACAATGGTTGCTTGCTGTGAAATTTGAGAAATATTTTGTGGCTGAGGAGATGCTTGTGGAATTGGTGATGCTTGTTGTTGAATGTGCATTGGAGATAATTGATCAGACATTAATTGAGTCGTTCCACTTGTTTGTGGTTTAGTTTGTAACTTGACTTGTTGCTCAATCTTTTGTTGATTTATATTTCTTTCTTGTACTAGTCTCTCAAAGCATCTCTGTGCGATATCAATCGGTGATAATGGCAAATCGTAACTAGCAATACCCATTTCAGCTAAAACAGGCAAATGTTTTTGATTTAAAATTGCATTGCCCATATATTTCTTTAATTGAGGTTGTTTTTTCACCATAGCTGCCTTAATTGCATCAAATTTCATTTTTGTCAATTTGGTAAATGAGTTATTGTTGTCATTCTGATACAATTGTGCAGTTCTTGGTGTTCTTGCATTTTTCATTGAAGTCTTTAATAGGCCTTTATTCTTTTTTTGCTTCTTCGGACTATCGAGAAGTTTTCCCTCTTCTCGTGGAAGAATTACAGCTTCATAACGCCAACGGCAATGCTTTGGAGACCTATATGTCCTCGATGTTTGATTAACAATGTCAGCAACAAGATCCCAATTGGGAGTATGTCCCGGGGAAATCAACATCAAATTTAATGGCAAACCCTGTAAATTTTGAATCACATTTAATATTGCTCGATCCTCAAAAATAAGCCACTCAGCCATTCCTTCTGGTTCTACTAAAGGTTTCATTGGGATTTGTTGCTTGAAATTTGCCATTGGCATTGATCTGATTAATCCACGATTTCTTTGTTGCTTTAAATCTTTTCTCATCTTTGCAAGAGCTGGAGATGGTCGATCAAATAGGGACCTGGGAGGTACGTATCCATCATCTTTACGCATTTTGAGTGGACGGCGACCATCAATGTAAAATCCATCATCTGTTCTCATTCTCTTGTACTCTTTTCGAACATAAATGGCTGGTAATTGTTCATCGTTCATAACAGAGCATGTGTTGTATAGAAATCTTAACGAATAATCAATATAAAGGTCTGATTCGTCGTCTTGTGGAGGAGTTGGAGGACACCACATCTAAAGCATTAAAGCATTACAAAATTGATTTACTAATTTCTTTAATTGCTTTACTTACCGGCATTGTTTCCATAGTATTTTTTGAAACCCAAATCTAGAAAAAAAAATCACTGGTTTTAGAAAAAAAAGAATCGCGGCTGGAAAGTGGAAACGAGCAAAAAATGACCAACCAAAAGATTTGAAAAAGAGACGATCATCGCAAAAATTAAGATTTTGGAGAAAGGAAGAAGGAAGTAGTTTGGTTGTCACTTAATCTCGCCCACACATTTTGTGTTGTAAATTGATTCTAAAAAAATATCCATTTCAGTTTTGCTTTTATATTCATTTTTTTTTTTTAAACCACCTTTAATTAAGTAAGAATAAATATTTGGTTATCAACAGAAGATCGAGTTTGGACTATGGCAAGGCAATCGCTGTTTTGGTGCCAACAAAAAGAATCACAAAAAAAAATGTTCAATTTATAATTTACATAATTGTTTTTTATATATATATATATATATATAAAATCCTCTGCCATCTCCAAACAAAAGCTTTTTTTTTTGTTTCCTCATGAGAGTTTCACGGTATATTGGAAGTGTATCAAAGGATCTTCTACTGATAACACAAATTATTTTATAACTTTTTTTTCATAAGAATATTCATTAGATATTTTTTCATTTCAATTAGAACACAATAGAGGTGTAGCAGGCTAGTGACACCAAAACAACAGAGTGGGCCAGAGATTGAGTTAGCTTCCAAGACTCGATTTCGTTATTACTTTTTTTTATTATTATTATTATTAATTTTTTATCTTTCGATCTTTCTTTTGACTTTGAAAAACTTGACTGATACGAATATTTTTTTGTCATCGATTATTAACAACACAAAACACCAACCGACAATTTTTCTTTTCTGTTCATTAGTATTTTCACCTGTATTCAATTAATTTTCTCATCAATTACTATTAATTTTAATAATATTACATCATTCATATCATATTTTATCATCTTTTGCATATTATAAGTATTTTTAAATGTAGTAAGAGAGGATTAAATTAAATTTGTTTGAGGCTATTCATTGATTATGTTTGTTTTTCTCATATGAACTTATGCTACGAACATTTTTTGAATGCATTATTATTTCAGGGAAAGTTTTAAAATTTTGACAATTTCATGCTGATGACGTGAGATAAATAAGATAATAAAAATAAATTAAGAAATGAAAGGAAAAAATAATACAGTAAATTTTTGCTCACGTCTTCATTTTAAATAATTATTTAAAATAAAAATAATAAGCAGGAATTCCAACAAAAACGGATTCATTGAGAAATCCTAAAACAATTATTTACATTTTTTTCTTCAAAGATTGTTCATTATATCTGCGATCAGATGTATTAAATAAGAAATTTGGAAAAATAAATAATGTCCTGTTTTTTTTTCTTCGGGAAATGCTCATATCGTCATCAAGTTTAGATCTATCTTTCTTCTATTATAACAATCATACTTGTTTTTTTTTTTTTTTTATCAAATCGATCACAACTGTAAGAATAGCACGAATAGGACGATGTGTGTGAAGTTTATCAAAGCGTTTTATTTTGCATTGCAACCACTCGTCTTGGCCGAATTTTAGGCGTATTATCATCATCATTACTAGACGTTTGCTGTTTAGCTTTGAGTGGAGGTTCTGGCATTTTTTGTATCCATGAGTCGAGTGTATGGTTATTTTTAGCAGATAAAAGCTTTTTATTACCTTTAGATTGAGGTGACGGCGTTGCATTTAGTTTCTTTTGCTGAATATCAACCATCGATATCTTACATTCTTTAACTCCAAACTCTTTTTTTACTTGTCTCTCTTCTTTCGACAAATCATCTATCTTATCTACATTTTTAATACTACTATTATTTGAGGTTGATACTTTTTGCCGTTTAATTGGTAAAATTGGACTATCATCCAAGGTCCATAAATTTAAATTGACAGTTCCTCTAGAACGAGTTCGTGGACTACTTGTTGTTTTCTTCTCGGCTAGTGAAGATTTTGGGAGTTTTTCAATCGTTGTCTCATCAGTAATTGTGCTATCGTCGTTTATTATTGTATCATCGTCTTGCGATGTTGAATCGAAATTACTTTCAACTTTATGATTTGAATTATTTGAATCAGAATCATTGACATCATTAGAATCAACCATAACGTCTAAACTGCATTCACTATCTGAATCTTCTTGAACCGATGTTTGACGGCTCATTGATGTTGATCTGTTTGTACTTTCGCTTGTCGATCGGACTGTTTTTTTAGATTTTGAAGAACTACTTATATCGCTCTTTCGACTCATGGCCCTTTGGCGTGGAATCTTAGAAGTAATTCTTGAATTGGGTTTTCCTATACTATCCTCATATGTTCGACTTGTGTTTCTTGTCGTTCGCTTGAATAAAGCATCGACATTTTTCTGTGGTGTTTTCGCAATGATCTTTTCCTTTTCATTCTTATTATTAACGCTTTTATCATTCTCTTTTAAAATACCATTTCGTGTAACAGTTCCATTACTGCCATTGCTACTACCACCACTACTATTCTTACTATTTTGTGATGTACGTGACGAACGATTTACATTTTCAGACTTACGTTTACCTAATAAAGATTTTTTATTGGATTTTATATTAACCTTATTAAGTGAATCCTCTCGACTGTACGTTAGAAGCTCACTATCCTCTTTTTCGACGTTTTGTTTCTCCAATTCTTGCTGTTGTTGCTGTGCTAATCTCTTTTCTTCCCACTCACGTTTTTGTTGTTCGATTTCCATTTCAACCGCTTTCAGCTGAACTGCTGCCCAATTTGCTCCAGTGTCCTCAACAAATCTCATTGCATATCTTTCGATTGGACTCAACTATTGGAAACAGAAATAAACAGAAAATTATTATAAATAAGACTTTTATAAACTTTAAATCATTATTATGGATATTACAATACTTTATTTGTAATAAAAATTTGATAACCAGAACATTTTGAAAATCATGCGCCGGAAGTCTGTTTCTATTGTAGTTTTATATAGCATTATATCCAAGAGAACTTTTACAAGACATGAAAAGTTCAATCTTAAAGGATATGTGCGAAAAAAGTTAATAAGGGTCAACAATAACTCACTTGTTCGACTAGATTTTGAACCTCCTTTTCTTGTTTTGTTAGTTCCGGTTCTCTATCTTCTGTTATTGGAATGTTTTCATCGAATTCAGCCAAATCTTCAGCAGCTTCTTGCCTTACAACTTTTGCAGCCTCGACATCTTGATCATCTTCAGCAGCTGCTAAGGCTGATTCGAAAACTCCCACTGCAGTCTTATCATTCTCATTACTAGCAGATGATGATGATGATGATGATGTGGTTGCTAATGTTTGAGTCAATTTTTCTCGCCTTTCTTTATCTCTGTCGAGAACATCAGCTAAACGAGCCGTTGCATCATCGCTCTGATCAACATTAAAAAGATCCTGAATTGTTGAGTTTTTGAAATAAGCTTCCGTAAACTTTCCACCTTCGATTGCTAAATCGCCAAGTAAACGTTTCTGATTAGCTTTCTTCAAAATATTTTCTTCGATTGTCTTTTCACTAATTAATCGATAAATGTGGACGTCTCTCGTCTGTCCAATTCGATGGCATCGATCTTGAGCTTGAGCATCGCACGTTGGATTCCAGTCACTATCATAGAAAATTACTGTATCGGCACCTGTTAAATTTATGCCGACACCGCCAGATCTTGTTGATAAAATAAATACAAATATTCTCCTATCTTCATTAAATCGTTCCATCAAAAGTTGTCTTTGTTCTACTTTTGTTGTTCCATCAAGTCTCAAATATATATGACCATGATAATTAAGGAAAGCTTCAAGCACATCCAACATTCTTGTCATTTGTGTAAAGATTAAGACTCGATGGCTCTCTGACTTCAATTGCCTTAATAAAAGATTTAACGATTGTAATTTTCCACAGTCGTATTGAATTAATCGTGGATCCGGGAACTGAAATATAAGAAAACAGATGCAAGATTTAAATTGTTATTACCACAAATGTACATTATTATATACTAGTGATTACACAAAACCCACTTTAAAATGGATTATTTTAAGCACCCTACAATTCCCCACCATTTCATGAAGCATATGGCTACAATCAAAGTGTATTTCATTGTTTTTATCATGCAATTCGCATGTCTATTAACAAACGGAAATACAAAATGAAGAAAACAAATTGCTCATAAAACATTCAAGTTATAGCCCTATAATTCTTTCCTTTCCTCAATATCCATATCTGATGACAAAAAACTCGATCGGAATCAAGAATTGTCAACAAAGAATAAAGTTTTTATTTTTGTATGAAATTACATACTTCACAAATGCAAAAACTCAGTCTTTGAAGAAACAGATTAAGTTTTAGCCAAAAATTTCTAATCGTTATTCATACAATTTTGAGAGGAAAATGCGTACAAAAACGCATGATGCAATCACGCACTCAGCATTTAAGACCCCCATAGTAGAGATATAAAATTATAATGTACACAATGCTCTAGAAGTAAAAATTATATTAAAGAAAGATCTTTACTTGCTGTACAAAGCCCTAGGAAATTAATTCCTTTAATTACTTTAGCACTCTTGCAAAGGTTCCATTAAACGAAATTATGTTTTTTCGAACCGATTTTGAGTGCAGAAAAAAATTTAAAGTAAAAGATAAATAATAAACTTACTTGAGTTGTCATTGCTGAAGCGATTGGATGCAAGAGATGAGTTTTTGGGCCGATATCTTTGCAAATGATTTCATTTCGATTTTGTTCGCTATTTCTTATTGATGGGTGCATATGAGTAACGGATAATGTTGGAATTTTGGCGCTAACAGCAGGAACGACAAAGACAAACTTTTCAAAAATTTCCTTCAACTCTTCTGTGCGATCTTCATTACATTTAATTATCTCAGAAAGACTACTAAATGCAGCCTTCTTTAAAATTTCATATTGGCAAGATACGTGACTTTTTGAATTGAATGAATACAGCTCATCATATTTTAAATTTGGATTAGAAATAACTTTACTGAGGAACTTCCGCACATCTTCGCCATAAAGTGGAGAAGCATCGCATTTCCGTTGATTACTTTTGCTCAACAATTGTAAAATATGACGACGATATTCTTGCTGGAGTTGTTGAATGTTTGGCAGATGAAATTCAGATGGCGATTGTTTCTCAATATTTTCTACAACACTTTCTGTCGAACTTTTACGCACGGCATCAATAACGGCATTGGCTAACGGTGGGGTTATACTAGTTGTAGACACAGGATTTACTATCATAACACCGGAATTGGCTGTTAAAATTCCTTGCTTCCTATTTACTAGATAAATTTGTCCAGATGATGATTGAATAAGTTGATGTGTTGCCTTATTTGAACGAACATTGATAGTGCCGCTGGATGTTGGAATTTGTTGAAGAGTAATTTGAGTCTTATCATCATCAACGAGCATAGGTTGACTGATTTTCCGCTCATTTTGTGTAAATTTTGAGGATCTCATTGCAGGACTTGTACCGATTTTTATTTGTGAGCACGTTGATATTTCTTTTTGTGCAAATGGTTTTATTCTTAAATGCATTTTACACTTTCCCTGCGGACAAACTGGTGGTAATGTTGGGGCGGAATCAATCTCTTCTATTAATTTCTTCGGTGTTATTAATTGTTTCATTCTAAATGCAACAAAAGCCGTTAAGCACATCTCTAATTGTATTAGTACTAAATTTAATGCCACTAAATCAATATCCTTTAGTGGATCATACTGAACTATATTATAGACCATTGAAGGTACAGTCATGTTAATTTGTTCCATTCGAAATGGTGAAATTGTAGGTCTTGTCTCAAACAAATTAGGATGATTACAAACTTTACGAAGTTGCATTAATACATTGATAACACTTAAAAGATTTCCACTTGCTAAAGTCTCTTTCGTTTTAGTACGACCCATAAAATCATCGTACAAAAACCTTTGACGTTTTGATAATCGACACATTACAACATGTTCGTATTTTTTTGGCATCTGTTTTTCAACTTCACTTTTAAGACGTCGCAGTAAAAATGGCCGAAGAACTTTGTGAAGTTTTATAATGATTGTCTCATTATACTCCATATTTCCTTCAACCATTCCAGCCATTGGTTTTGAAAACAGCTCATCAAATGCTCGATGTGATTCGAAGAAATTTGGCATTAAGAAATGCATTAATGACCACAATTCAGACATACTATAAACACAAAAATTATATAAATTAAGCAAAACAACAATAATTGAAAGTCTATAATTGTAATGTTACCTGTTTTGAAGAGGCGTTCCAGTCAGCAGCAATCGTCTTTCGGTTGAAAAGTTTAGGAGTAATTGCCATCGCTGTGATTTAAAATTTTTAATATTTTGAGCTTCATCAAGAATTAAATATTTCCATTTTTTCCTTCGAAAACTTTGATGGTCTTGAATTACCAATTTATAACTCGTTATACACACATGAAAAGCATTAATTTTTGTCCAACCAATACGTTTCATTTTCCGCTCCTTTTGTGATCCATAATATGTCATAATTTTGAACCCTGGACACCACTTTTTAAATTCCATTTCCCAATTCAGCATTACAGATGATGGCACGATAATCAAATGAGGACCCCAATTTCCTTTAACACAAGCCAAATGCGCTAAGAGAGCAATAGTTTGAATGGTTTTTCCTAGACCCATTTCGTCAGCTAAAATTCCATTTAATTTTCTGTCATACATTGTTACGAGCCAATCCAGACCAATGTGCTGATACTCTCGTAACGTATGTCGTAAAAGTATAGGAATTGGTGTAACAACATTCGTCGATGATAAAGTATTTCCTTTTGGCTGAATACTTTGTGCTAATGCTGCTACATTATTCAATAAAGCATCGCCGTTATCACAGTTTTCGGAACTTTTACCTTGTTGATCAACATCCAAAAGATTCTTTAGACTTAAATCCTCTTCTTTATTCTCCGCAGAAACTTCAGTCTCATTATCCGAGTCAATTTCCATTGACTCTACTTCATCATCTGATTGTTCCTGCTCAGACTCCTCGTTATCGGTCGAGTCATCATCAGAATCACGTTCACTTGTTTTTGGCGCATTCCGTTTATATTTTGCCATCAGCTCATCTATACTCATTTCGCCTTCAGCCTAGAAAACAATAATTATTTTCAATTAGTTTTGTTGTCTTTAAATTTTTGTAAAAAAGTTTATTTATTTATTTAAAATAAATCAGCCAAATGCCTCGTTTGTCATCCCGAGATTACGTAAAGAAGCTCAAGAATAGAACTTAAAAACATATCAGAGTTTGAAATAATAAGTTTATCATCATTTTAAAAAATAAATTAATAAATGAATGAATGAAAAGAGATCTTGCCTTTAGTTCATCAATTTCAGCTTGATGATCTGCATTCTTTTCAGTCTTTTCTTGTTCCATGATTGTATCCTCGTCATCTTCATCGTCCTCGTTTGTAGCCTCAAATTCTTTATCAGATTCTTCGGGCGCACTTGACGACGAAGACTCGTCAGCAACATCAATTTTGTCGCGATTGAGTAGATAGTCTTTCGGCAGTGTCTTAAGGAAATCATCCAATTCCATTTCAGATTCTTTTTTCAGAGCATCAATTTCATCATTTGTAGAACTTGCTGGAATTTCTGCTTCTGCTTGAGCGATTGTCTCCTCATCGTCATCCGAAACTTCATTTGGACGTGACCATTCATCGTCAGAGCCCATCATTCGAGTTGGTGACGAAATACGACTTGAATTGAGACTAGTAGCTTTACTTGTTGCCTGTCCAGAAGCTTTATTCATTCCTTCGGCAACTTGTTGCGAGTATTTTTCAGTTTGATCAACAATAAAGTTTAATTTTTCATTCAATGCCTTCTTCCTTTTCGCTTCTAATCTTACATTCTGCTTAATTTCTACAACCTTTTCAACATTCGCCCAAAAGGTTTTTATTTCTTTGGCGATAAATGCAGCAATCCTCTTAAGATTTTGCTCTTGTGCCTTTTCCGCCTTCTGTACAGCCATTTCCTTCTCTTTAAAGTAATTTTGAACCATTCGTGCGCACTTTCGTGCTGCAGATTTCTTCCATTTTCTCTCATTAGCAAAATCTGCCGCAAGCCATTGCATTTCTTCTAAAAGGAAATCCCAATGAGTCTTAATACGTTGTGGCTCAGCCAATTTCGGCAATCGAGTTCCCATCCATAATCCCTCCCTTTTAAGCTCCTGTACTCGTTGCAGTACATATGCTTCTTCTTTGGCTTTTACAGACACGGCTGGTTCTGTCGAATTTATGGAGGGTGATGATGCAGAAGTCGTATGGTTTGATGTGGTTGCATTTGTACTACTTCCAATTACTATAGGTCTTCTTTCAGGTACAAGTGGAGTTCCCCCTAAAATTATGAAAAAGAATTGTTTATATTTTTTTTATTGCTTACAAGAACAAACACAATAAAGTATATATAAAATCATCAGGCATCAATATATAATAATAGACTATTGGAAAATATCATAAAAGTACTATCCAAAAAAAAATGAAAACTAGTTATGAAAACAATTGCTTGTCATTTAATGCTTTTTGTCGGTAGAAATTTCTTCTGAATAATTAATCATGCACATTTCTAATCTAAAATTGAGATTTTCAACGGAAATCAAATCAAACATAACAAAGAATCAAGAGACACGTACATCTGGCATGCAAATGAGCTACGAAAAATGGATTAACGATCACATCAATACAGAAAAATCAAAAATAAAATAGAAATCTTCTTTGCGTAAAATCATCATAGATGCATAACATGAAACAAAAATTATGGCAATCAAACATTCATTCCATATAAAAATTATATGTATGTTTGTATCAAGTCAAATAATTTAGAAGTCTTTCGACACATTATTCAATAAAAAAAGGCTCAAAACAAGAAAGAAAGGAACAGAAAAAAAACAGCATAAAAACAAATAGGAAGAAATTATTGAAGGTGCTCTGACCTGGCACCAATGGCTTATTGAGAGAATTTCCAATTGTGGGTGAACTATGTATTTGGCCAAAAATCATTCCATGACGTCCTCCTTGAGGTTTGCCTGGAACTTGACCTAAAAATAATTTTGCGAATGTGACAGTAACAATCAGTTAACATAACTTCAACAATTATCATTTTAAGGGTGTGTAGTTTTTTGTAACATCTAAACACTTTTCTTTTTTTTTTTTGATGATACATAAGTTTTTCGAAAACTTCTTTTGCACAGAAATGAGAGAAATAAATACAAAAATAAAAACATTTTCGACACAAATAAAGAAAATATAATTGTTTTCACCAATTTCCTTAATTTTAAGAAGAAATTTAAATTTTGATTTTCATGGATTTGATGGGAACAAACAAGACGTGGAGAGAAAGAGGAATCACTTAGGTTGTATGCTTTGCAATTTTAATCTAATCAAGATGTGTTACGTTTTGCATGTATAATGTATGTAGCTTATAAGATGCCCGCAAATCAATTTTGTTAGTCTTATAACATGACAATATAATAAATACAAAAACTCACCTTTCTTACTTAATTGTGCAACAGCAGCTGGTAATTGCGTTGAAATAGCTATCGGTGTGCTGCCAACACCGGGGATTTTAATTTCAGCCCCTTCTGGTGACTGTTGATTTATCTGAAATATTTCATGATATAAAATATTTTTTGATTAGTCCAGGATCTTAATTTTCAATTTAATAATCATTTCGGAGAAATAATATCTCAGATAAATGCCTCGATTGTCTTCTTCGAGCTTCACTTTGCGAGATGCAAAGTGAAATCTCAAAGCTCAAAATATTCAAGAATAGAATAGGAAGAGCAATCAGGTAATCGGAAAAGTTTTACATCATTGATAATAAAATTAAAAGCGGGAAATGATAGTGATAGAATGAAAGAAATTACCGTTCTGAAGGAATCATTATCATCAGTTGCTGAAGGATCTAATCTGTACGTTTTCTTAAATGATATAAATTGGGGTATAGGTGGTTTCTTGCGCCATGCTGGATAATCCATCATGTTGCCATTCGATTGAAGGAAAAAGAGCTCAGCTACATGTTCAGCATGTCTGTAGATTTTTTATTAGAATTAAAATTAAGTAGTATTTAATCAATAAAAGTAATTATTCTTAGTAACTTACTTCTCCTTGAGACTCTTTAATCGTTGAAATTTGTGTTCTAAAATGCGCTTCTTTAGAGCAGATAAGTCTTCTGTATTACTTCCAGTACTACTCGAACTGTCTGTCGTGACTGTTTCGAGTTTTAGACGCTTCTTGGCGATTGGAGAACTGGTATCTAAGTGATTCGTTGTAGATGTGGATATTTGAGAAGAAATTGAATTTGTGGCATTTGTAGATGACTGATTCACAACTAATGGCGTTGTTGTTGCTGCTGCGGATGATGCTGATGAATAATAAATACTGCCTTGGATTGTATTTACATTTGTTGGCGCTCGAGAGACACTATCATTATTTGTATTACTATTTATTATAATATAGGAGGAACCACTTTGTGGGAGTGTAAGGATTTGTTGTTGTTGTTGCTGCTGCTGTTGCGTTCTAAAATTTTGAATCGGTATCGATTGTTGTTGAATATTTTGGACAATTAGTTGATTTGTATTTGGTTGTTGTGGCTGTTGCTGATTTTTATCGCCTGTCAATCGGGACATTGATGATGATATATTTAGGTTGCGGTATCAATATTTGTTGTTGAAAAGTCGCTATTGAAATTTCTTCCAACATTTAATTCACTAAAGGGTTTCACGTTATAAATTATCGCTTAAGTTTACAAGTTTTGCTCAAACTATTCTATTTAATTTAGCTGTGAGTGGTGAGAATTAAAGCAAAAAAATTGTTCTTTGTATTAAAATATTTCTCATAAATTGAGACGCTAAAGGTTTTACGACTTAATCAACTTAACATGATAAAATGATCATTAAACATTATTCGACAGGAATTATCATCTATTAATAAACACACAAACTTTTCAAAACTATTACAGTTAATCAAGTTTTGATTTCATATCGAATGGGGTCGTTCATAAATGACTTCTCTCAAAAATAGAAATGGGTTACCCCCCCCCCCCTTCTCTCTCGTTTTTGTGACAGTTTTCTATTATTGTACGGAGTTATCAGACCCAATACAGTCCCCAGAAATTGGACGTCATTTTAGATCGAGTCAAAATTAAAATGTTGGATTTAACGTACGTAAACCTTTATATGTATGTATTTTTTTTTAAAGATGGCGTTTTTTCACAAACCTCATGGAAATTTTTTTCAATTGGTTAAAAACACTATAAATAACATGAATCACTAATCTATTTCAATCGCTTTCAATTAATTACTCTCAAAATACAAGTTTTAGACTATTTTAAGTTAATTTTTCTTGCTTTTAAAGCTTAAATTAATATTTTTTACCAAGCCACAAACACTATAGTCGCTTAAAATTTTTCAAAAAACGGGAACTTACACTTTCTGCCTTATTCTGATTTGCTCAGCGAATTCATCAAAACTCATGAAAATCAAAAGATACTACTCTTTTTGTCCAGTTGTCAAATGCTCTAATTTCATTTATAATAATGTACATTATTAAATATGCGCTGTCAAGCTCCTGAATTTGTCTTGGATGACAGTTTAATACTGTTGAATTCGCTTTAAGAATAATAATAAAAATTTCAAACCTTTTTTTTATAGCTAGTTTAATTAATTAAGTTTAAAGCATGTCTCTAAACAAGTTGGAGATTAATATAAGAACATTATTAGGAACGTGTGAAGTATTGTCAAAAGATGAGGATCAAAAGTGGAGATTAACACATTATATTAAAAGTTTAGATTTAATGATTAAAGAGCTGGAAGATTTGTAAGTTCAACTACAGAAGTATAATCAGTGAGCATAAATATTAATCAAGTATTTATATATCGTCCAGTGATACAGCAGATAAGAAAACTATAGCCAATTATCAAGAAAAGATACTTGAATTAAAAACCCAAATTAATTACGTGGAACCTCCACAAAAGCAAAAATTACGAAGTCGAAAAGATGACAGTAGTGAAACGATATTAAAGGAAATAAAACAATTAAATAATGCAAAGTATAATAGAGAATTGCGAAAAGAGTTATTTGATGGAGATGATAATTCTGGTCTACGAAGAAGAGGTGCCAATGAAAGTGCTGAAAATATGGAAAAATATTATGAAAATATACAGGAGAAGCTAGGCGAAGAAATGATAGCATTAACGAGAAATCTCAAGGAACAAACTCTTGCTGCTAGTGATATCATAAAAAAGGATACAGAAGTAATAACGCGATCAGCAAGACTTACACACCAAAACATTGGGTCATTAGAAAAAGAATCAAAGAAACTAGATGATCATACGCGGAAAGCTTGTAAATGTTGGCTCTGGATGATGATTTTCATTGTTGTTGCAATTTTTATATTTATGGTACTATTTATGAAGCTTATGAAGAAAAAACAATAAATAATGCATTTTTTTTATCCATTCCTTAAAAAAATATGCGCTTTGGCATATCTGCTACCTGAATAATTTACTACCTTGTTAAGTCCAATGTACTCTGAAGTGCCTCTATGTAAATTCTCAAACATAGTAAATGAGAGGTAAGCGATAGAGCAATAGAATTAATTACCATTTTAAAGCATCAATGATAATTCCAGGAAATGTTTGACGACTTGAATAGCTTGCCTGATATTATTACAAAGGAAATATTTCAATATTTGTCATTTAGAGATATTTGTAATTCATTGCTGGTTTCAACTAAATGGCACGAATATATTGGAGGTAAAGAATTTTGCATGGACAAATTAAGGTTGAGGATAGAAGGATGGCAAGATTTAGAAATAATTTCAAAATTGTTGATGAACAATTCGAGAAGATATCGTGCGATTGTTTTAAATAATTTGAATCCCTCAAAAGACTTTCCCTTTATTAAAACCCACAATTGGAAGGATGTAAGAATTCAACAAATGAGATTTATGTCAACTTATGTATTTTACAAATATATAGCACAGTTTGGAAGTAGTTTAGAGGTACTCGATCTGGAGAAAATAATTATTGTTAACGGCGAAGATACTTCAAAGGATTCACTAAATCTTCCTAAAATAAGGAAACTAGATCTAAAACAAGTGCCAACTACAGCATTTCAAGTATTTTCTAGATATCCAACACTCACATCGCTACATTTTGATATTCCTGCATTTGGAACACAAAGTCGTTCATTGATTATCAATTTTTTTGAGAATTTTAAGCATGTCAATATAGAGAAATTATCAATTTGTCGAAATTCGCTTTATGGCTTATCATCAGATGCCTTGGCATCCATTGAATCAATTATAATCTCAATAGCTAAGAGGTTAAAAATGATAGAATTACAAGATTGGGGATCGTGTCATACTTTTGAGAGACTGTTTAATAAGCTTAAAGTGTCACACTTTTCAATTAATTTTGTTTCTCATCAACCAAGAATACAAGATTTAAATAATTTGAAGCCGAATAATAATTTGACTGTTTTGGAATTATCACTGCTCAACTTACCTGAAATTGTGTGGTGTCAAAATCTCTTTTTATTAACTCCATGCCTAAAGTATCTCTTCATTACGAAAATAAGAAAGGAGATTGTCTATCACGCTGCCTATAGCTTAAAAATGTTGGAATTTTTTTCGTACGCTTCTTGTGTAATAGACATAGCTACGGAATTTAATGAACACGAATATGATGATGTAGAAACGATCGAAATGGAAGAGGGAAAAGACCTTGGAGATGAATATGATTATATTGGCAAGGATGAAATTTTTGATCTTAATGGCATTACTACAACAAGATCTTTGGTTATTAAGCGTTATTCAGACTTTAATTCAAGTAAAAGTTTTGCCAATTCATATTATAATTACATTAAAAACTTATCATGTGTAAATCAAAACATTAAATTTCGTAAACGTGATTGAGGAATTAGCTGATTGGGTTATAAAATTTTAAGTGTCGTACCCTTGATTAACGGCTTTTTTTGTAGAATTTAAAATCAGTCTTGTAAAAAAAAAACCGGAAAATTTTCATAAAATAAAATTAATTTGAGCAATTATTAGACAAAGAAATGGCATTATTAAGTAGTTTTAATGATTCCTTCCTTCCCGGCGATAGTTTTATCAATACAAGCGGACCAATCAGTTCGTTACCATCAAAATATACAACAAATTGTGTCAAGGTAAAGAAAAAATAAAGGCTCGATGAGTTATAATTATGATATTTTGCTTAATTAACTAATTTGTAGCTACATGCATATCCGGATATTAACATAAGCAAGGAAATCTTTAATTCTCATATATCACAACAAGATCATCTGATCCTACCAGTACAGGAGACTTTAATCAAGAAATTCACACAGACATTGATCGATGAAGGATTAAAATGCTCACTGGAAGTACTCGAAAAATCAGAATCGGCTGTTCTTTCAGGCATGTCTAAAGGACTATTAAAAGTTATGAGCTATGGAAATCGATTGAAAATATTTATGAATCCATATAAAAAGGAGATTCCGATTGATGAATATGATAACTATACAGAAACGCGTAATTGGAGAACATCGCCTATACGTTTTATTGCATATCATCCGCAATGCTTTAAAATTGCTGTTGCTAGTGTTGACGATTCAATAAGAATCTATAATGACAAAAGTTCTATCGTAACGGTTTTAAAGAATGCAAAACAAAAATCAATTTTCGCACTAGCTTTTCGTCCATACAACTTTTCCTCTTTAGTTGTAGGATGTTCAAGTGGGGTGCTGATTTGGACAATCGATCCAAATTCAAATATGACCCGACCATTATCGCAAGCAGTTCTTTGCCGTCATGATAATCATTTTCCAGTAACATCACTTGAGTTTAATTATAATGGAAATTTATTAGCAACAGCCAGCATTAATGATACATCAATTTTAATATGGGATATCGATAAAAATATTTGTGTACCTTTGAGGAGATTTTCTGTTCCTTTTTTGAAGCTGCAATGGAGCTTAAATGGATCATACTTATTTACTTCAACTGTTGGAAATATATTTCGAGTATGGGATTGTGAAAAGTTAAAATCAGACCGATGGACTATATCTGGTGGACATATTCAATCATTTCAATGGTCGCCTTGCGCAAAGTTTTTACTATTTGTTACCTCAAAAGATCCTGTTTTGTATTGTCTTGGATTTGCTGACGAACCATTATTTAATAAAAGTAATGAACACGAAATACATAGAGCACTACCAATTGCCGATCTTTCAAAAGTCACAAGCGAACACAATGAATCATCTGGAGGAATTGCTCAGCAAATCGCTTGGAATGGAAAATATCTAGCTATATCATTTAAGGAATCAAATCAAATTGCTGTTTTTCAAACGACTATTCGCCAGCATCAATTACTCGTCCTCCCAATGTTTTTCATTTGCGGTTTAGGTGCCATAGAATATCCATCATTTATTGCTTTTCAACCATTCTATAAGAATAATTCCTCTTTTATTGATCAGGTTTTGACAATTGGATGGTCTGGTGGAAGAGTTCAATTTTATCCTTTTGTATAAATATAATTAGAATTAATGAAATAAAGATTCAAGTTTTTTGTCTATTTTTTATTGCTAGATATTCCTTTCTTATTTTACTTTGTATTTCTAATGGAAATTCAGTTACAAGATTATAAGCACAACGATAGCAAAAAGTTTTATCATAGTATATACTGCAGTCTTTACAAAATGCCTCTTCACAGATATTGCATTTTGATCCAATCACAATAAAATATTCTGTATAAGAACGTTTTGAATTACTGGATGGAGGAGCTGAAAACGGATCTTTCTTTATGTAAGAATCTTCAATAAACTCAATGTTTCTTGTAAAAGAAGGCTTTTTTCCATAATAATCAACCAGCTCAGACATAAAACATTCTTTGCATAAAAATTGAAATTTTTCCTGTTGCTCCTTTTCACATTTGCTTGTTGATGCTGTTTTATCGCTATTATCCATTCTGAAAAAGTAAATAGTTTTCACGTTAGCCAGCAGATTAGATGTTTTATGCCCACCAAAAAGGTTTTTCAGTTTTACAAGGATTTTCATTGTAATTTAAAGATTTTGCAGCCATTGCCTGCTCGATTCGCATCAATCCAAGTCCATAGCTTCCAGAAATGTTTCTCAATTTTCCAACAGACTGTTTCTCTTCATTTTTGATATCGACGTTTTCATTCATAACGATTTTCTGTTCGAAAATTAATGGCATTAATCGTTTCCTAACAACTCCTGTATGATAAGTTCTGGCTGTTAATTCTTGACCAATATAGCATCCTTTTTGAAAGCTTACTCCATTCATATATTCACAGTTTGATTCAAGTGGGAAGCTTTTTTCCGGTAATAAATCTAAGATTCCTTCAGCAATTCCTAATTTGTAACGGTATTCAAAGTAGTCTGTATCACTTCCTAAATTTTCATTCAGCTTTTCTTCCAAATCATAATCTTTGGATGCAATTACTCTTATTCCAAAACCACTGACTCGAGGATCTTGATAAGGCATGACTTTATTTGAGTATTTAATATCCTTTTCCAATCTGTTTAAAAACCAAAGATTATGTTCATCAGATAACGATATATCAACCTTTCGTCTAACTCTGTATAATTTCAAGTGTCTCATTAAATTATCGGCAATGACTGTATCGCATTCAATTAAGAACTTTTCTTCGTCCGTATTTGTTGTTGTTGGAAGTTTGTAGATGATTGAATCATATAAGATTCGTCCAAGTTTATTGAGAAATAATGTGTATATACAGTTTTGTTCACTAAACAGCCTCATATCATTTGTAATGATACCTTGGAGGAAATTTGATGCTTCATTGTTAGTTCCAGTACAACGAATCAAAGAACGTTTGAGTAAAAATAAGCGATTCATAATATTCTGTGAATTATTAGGACGTAATCTTACGAAAAACCTTTTTATGGCACAAGAATATTAATTAAACTATACCTTATGTATTGATTTTTTTTCCCTTTAATTTTCCTAATTATTAGAGCAAATTATCAATGTTTACAAATTTTCCGATATACCTCTATAAAATCAAAAACTACAGTAGAACCTACAAGGGCTTGTTCACTTGTTACGTAATGCAAAAAAATCTTGATTTTTAAATCTCTCTTGCACCTCTTTGTCACAAATGTTTTTTAAAAAGAAAAAATAATCAACATCTCCCACAAAAATGATTTTGTTCCTCTATTAAGTCTTACAAAGCGAAAAGAAGGTACGTAATAAATGAACGGCTCCTGATACTAGACACCCTCTATAATTTCAAAATCTTATTTTCATACAATTGAAAAGAAAAAAAAATTAAGAAATAAGTTTTTTAATATTTTTGTTAATTCTCGTACAGTTTAACAATACTTTAAAAGCTCCACATATATCCAGCCATACAATGATACTAAATTTATTGAGAAAACACTCGAAGAAACGCCATTAAAAGTGCAAAAAATTACGATGGAAACAAATGGAAAAGACGATTTAAAAACGCAATTTGTGACAAGAGAAGGATGTTATCGGTTACTAAATTTATCAGAATATTCACGACCGAACCGTGTAGGATATCAATCGAATCAAAATTCTCCACAAGTGCGAGTATCTTTTGTCTCACTGCCTGCAAATTGCTCTTCACAGCAGCAGCAACAACAACAACAACAATCGACAGAAAAAGGTAAAAATGATGAGAATATACCATTCTATTTTATTTAACTACAATAAATTTCATCATTTTTCAACTAGCTACTGGATTAAACAATAGTAATGGAAATAATGTAAATGGACCTATAAATGCCATCACATCATCGACTTCTCTATCATCATCATTCACAAATGGAATAAACGGAATACAGGATCAAAGTGATTGGATTTGCTTTAATTTTGGTAAAGAATTGTATACCTACGCTTATCGAGGAGTCAAAAAGGTATGTGTGGTATTTATTTAATTACTGTAAACATCCATTTTATCGTTGTATGTCAAGATAGCTATCTTTTTCACTAAACTTATTTTTAAATGTCTTTTGCGAAAGACAATAGAACGATTATGAAATAAGAAGCCAAAATTTATGTGTGTTCTGTTATCAAATAGTGTGATAAATTAATTGTTTACATTGCATACTTAATCACTAACTTGTTTTATGTTATGTGCTACTATAGTTGTTGATGATGAATAAACATTAATTTAATTTCCGATTAATATTAAAAAAAAAGAGTGTCTCAACGATACCTGACGCCCCATATTGATATAGTGTAGAAATTGCTACAAATTTCCCTTGAAACCTAATTAATCAATTGAGTTAAAACTATAGTCATTTCTCATGTATGTACTACACTTTGGAATCATTTTAAAAGCATTCATTTAATTTATTGCTTTCGACCATAAAAAAAATTGGTTCTGGCATGCTGGAAACATGAAATATTCGTGCAAATGTATATAGTTCAATGTATATAGAAAAAGAACATCACATATCTTCAGTTATTGTAAATTTCTTTTCTTTTTCCTCTTGACTGTCTTGATTGGAAATGTAAATATTAGTTTTAATTAAACCCTGTAATCGTATGTATTAATGCTTCATTTGTCATTTACTTTAACGTTATCATTCGATTGTATTACATGATCGACGTAGAAATTTATGATGAAATATGAAATCCCTTTGAGTCAACATGATTTTCACCATTTCGTTTTAAACTATATACATTTTACTCATGATTATGATACTTTGTAGGCTGCAGATCTAAGCAAACCAATAGATAAGAAACTTTATAAAGGAACTAATCCAAGCTGTCACGATTTTAATCAGACAACATCTACGAATGAAGGTGCTCCTCTCTTAGTTGGATTCACAACTGGTCAAATTCAGTTAATATATCCCGGACGGAAAGAGCAAGGAAAGCTTTTCAATGAAGAGGTACAATATCCTACTCATTTTAGTCAAAACATTTTGATATAATACTGATTACTTTAAAATTTTATAGAGATTAATTGATAAAACAAAAGTGACATGTTTAAAATGGCTACCAAATTCACCGAATCTTTTTCTTGCTGCGCATTCATCAGGTCATTTGTATCTGTATAATGAGGAATTGCCTTGCTCGCCGACAATACCAGTATATCAGCCATTTAAATGTGGTGACGGATATACGGTAGTCACATGTAAATCAAAATCAACAAGAAATCCACTTTTTAAATGGGCTTTTGGACTGAACTGTGCAACAAATGGAAGTAGTGTAAATTCATCGTCATCGTCGAGTTCGTCGTCTACAATAAGCAGCAATTCGAGTTCATATTCTTGTGCCAGTGATAATAGTAGCATTAATGAATTTTGCTTTTCACCATGTGGCACAAATTTAGCCATAGCATCACAAGATGGATTTTTGCGTGTCTTCCTTTATGAAACAATGGAACTTGTAGGTATCGCACGGTCATATTTTGGTGGATTTTTATGTGTTTGTTGGAGCCCAGATAGTAAATATATTGTGGTCGGCGGAGAAGATGATTTAGTGACAGTTTATTCATTTAATGAAAGGCGAGTTGTTGCCAGATGTCAAGGACATCGTTCATGGGTCTCAGTCGTTGCATTTGATCCGTATACAACTTTAACGACATGGGATCAGAATGATTTTTCGGACGATGAGAATCAATATGAAATGTCGACAAGTAGTAATTTAAACAATAACAAGAGACATAGATCTGCGTCTATAAGGGATAGCACATTAGCACCAGAAAAATTGATATGTTATCGTTTAGGCTCAGTTAGTCAAGATACACAATTGTGTTTGTGGGACATAACAGAGGATATTTTAAGACCACATCATCGGGTTCGATTAAGTACACTTGATCCAACACAACAGCAACAGCCGCAACATAATAGTAATATTCTTAATAGTTCAACTCAATGTAATAATAAAACTGAATCAGTTCAAATTAATGGTGATTGTTCGGCAAATAATAGCGGAAATGGTGATCGTTCGTCAACATCATTAATTATTAAGGACACAATTGATAGTAGCATAAGTAATTCGCACATTAAAACTATGAATTCATCAAATAGTAAATTAATAAATTGTGTGAGTGGAAGTAGTGTGGCAAGTGATAATATTACAAACGATAATTGTAATAATGGAAGCAGTAGTAGCACAAAGAAGGGCAAAGCATCATTAATTTCGGTTGGCAATAATTCCAATACTAATTTAAGTGCCACAAAAGTCTCATTAAATGATGAAAAAACAAATAATCATTCGACATTCAATACGCTGACACAGAGATTTACAAATTTTAGTTTTGGAAGTGATAAAAGCTCTAAAGGAAGTAAGAAAAATTTTACATTAGTCGGCAAAGGAAGTGGTACTTCTGTTGATCAGAAAGGAAATAGCAGTCAAAATTGTGATGGTAATAGTGCAACATCAACATTAAGAAATAAAAGTAATGGAAGTATAACTACAACATATGATGCGATGAAATTAATTGGAACTCCAGCTTGTCCACGTTTTGACGAATGTCCAGTGTTAGAGCCTTTAGTTTGTAAGAAAATTGCTCATGAACGACTTACAGCACTCATTTTTCGTGAGGATTGCTTTCTTACTGCATGTCAGGATGGTTTTGTGTATACTTGGGCGAGACCGGTAAGCATTCATGACTTCTATCTTAAATCAATTTATTTCAAAGTTTATTAATAGTAACATAATTTTCATGCTTTTTAGCATTCATCATATTTAGCAACGAGTAGTCCGACAGTTCCGCACAGCAGTTCTACCATTGTGTAATTTTCTGACAATTTATTTTCTTTTCATCCATCATTAAAGATGGGTATAGAAATTTTAACCTCTTGATTTGATCAAAAAAAAAACTACAAAATTGTGTAAGGATAGTTTTGTTTTGAAGATTTATCTGCATTACTTCTGTTAAAAAAAAACATGATGTGCATAAAACCAAAGAGTTTAGGAATGAAAATGACATACATTTGAGGTAGCTGATGATGCTTTGACCACATTTTAAAAAGAGAAAGAGACATGGAACGAGAATAGCATGTAAACAATATGATACACTTAGTAGCACTTCGATATGTAAGTGCCCTCAAAGAACAAAATAAGATTAAATTTCGTATAATGTAAACGAAAATTGATTCAACATTATTCATTGAATATTTCAACAGACTGGTTTTTCATCCCTTTTAAGAGAGACAAACATTTATATCTAATATCCAACAATGTAGTGCAATCAAATGGAAGTGAAATTGTTGCTGTTTATTATTTTACTTGCCTAATGGATTTTCACAAAAATAAATAAACTCTTGCTGGATAATCAGCAAACACATTTTTAAAAAAAAGTAAAATCTTTGCCAAAATGTTCAGATTAAATTCTAATAGAAAACGGACATCAAGAAATAATGACTTTTATGTTCTTCACTATACCATTCATGCCTGATTTAAAATTGAAAACGAATGATGAATTTATGATAAGATGAAAAAAAATATTAATAAATAACAAAAATAATGTTTACTTTAAAGAATTAGTTAATACGTACTGAATGATTTTATAATCAAGTCTCTTTTAAGGAATACAAAAAATAGAAAATCCACTTATATCTCCTTTTATCATTCATTCAAAATAACTAATTACTGTATATATTGAGAGAGAAGATTTAGATTTATTAAGAATGCGAATGATTTCCAATTTAATTATATTATTAAAAAAAAAATAATAAACATACACCACGTGAGCATATTCAATGGGAAATCTAAATATATAAGAAAAATAATAACGATGAAAATGAGAAAATCATGTAGCAATAAACAGAAATATAATGTTGTTCATTCATGAATGAAATTTTAAAGCAACAAATTTTAAAAAACTTCGTTTTCTCATCTTGCTGTTGTCTTTTGGAGAAGAGAAACAAGAAAAAATTAAGGAAATGCTTACGTTCTAAATGTATTTTTTGTTTTTTTCTTTCTCTTTAACTGTATTTAAATATTATATTTGGAGTTGATTGTTGAATTAATTCGAAACCTGCTGAATTTTTTATTCCTTCTTTAAAAAAAGGAATGATTTTTTTGGCCACAAATAATTAAACATGACTCTGATTGTAATAGAACAAGAAATTTGAAAGTCCATTTAGCTGTTTCAGTACATATCCAATAGTTGAAATGTGTTAATTATATTAATATTATAAATATATTTTTTATTTAATTTAAGAAGTCATAAGCATGATTAACAATGAAAAGTGTTATTTCTGTGGATTTTCAAATTTTTAGAAAAACAAAAATAAATTATTGAGCCTGGACAAAAGAGATTCAAGATGATTGATACGAAACTACATGTGTACGAAGAAACAAGTACAAACAGTTCCTCAAATAGATAAGCAAAGAACTGTAACAGAACATGAAAGTCAAGTAAAAGTGAAATGTCCATAAAACAGTGTAAAAATGGATTTAAGATTAATAAAAAGAGAATTAATTTATTTCAATGAAAACAATTTTCGATCTTACTAAGCCTTCTTTCCAGCAAGTCAGCGTTTAGTGTGTGCATGCAAAGGAACTGACCATTTAAAAAGCAAACAGGAATGTCAAGTCGATAAAGTCTTAAAAACTTTAGATTTTCTTTCTTTGTTATGTCAATCTTCTCCAATGTGTATCGCCCACAAAATTTTACTTCCAATTCCTCAATTAAATCGTCACAAAGTGAGCAGTGGTCATGGGTATAAAGCGTTATTGTAGGAACTTTAGTGCTAGAAGAATCATCTCTGAAAAAGACGTATTGAAGATTTTTTTAAAAAAAAAAATTTCAGTCAAGCAAATTACTAATTTAGTACTATCCATTTGATAAAGATAAGAAAATCACATGATATTTTCAGAAAAATATGAATTTTATTGACAATCTTCCGGCATAAAACAAACTTTAACGTTTAATATTCTTTTGATTTTGTAAATGCATCGTTTAACATGAGAATTTATTTTCTGGTTTTAGCACTTGCGGGATATACAAATGAACAAAGAGTACTTGTTATACTTACAATTTTTCAATCATAATACTCGTCGAACCACCACCACCATTACAAATTGAAGCACATCCAAATTCGCCTTTTTTCAAATTATGAGCTAAGTGAGCAACAATTCTAGCTCCACTCATTCCGATTGGATGTCCCAAACTAACTGCACCTCCATTAACATTTACGTTTTTAATGTCTACTTCCAAAAGTTTCATGTTTGCTAAAACGACAAGACTAAATGCTTCATTAACTTCCCATAATGCGACATCTTCTTTACGGATTCCTGTTAGTTTTAATAACTTTGGAATTGCTAGTGCTGGAGCAATAGGAAAATCAATGGGGTCAGTTTCTGCGTCTGCAAATCCAACAATTCTTGCAATAGGTTTGCATTTATGTTTTTCAGCCGCTTCTGCTGTCATTAGAACCATTGCACATCCAGCATCATTTAAAGTTGATGCATTTCCGGCAGTTACAGTTCCATTTTCTTTTTGAAAAACTGTACTTAATGAGCCAAATTTATCAAAATTCACACGTTTGTACTCTTCGTCTTCTGATATGACAATGTCAGGTTTTCCTTTCTTTTGTGGAATTGACACCGGTGTAATTTCTGCATCAAAAATCTTATTTTTCCATGCTTCAGCAGATCTTTTATAACTTGTAATACCAAACTCATCTTGTTGCTGCCTACTAATGTTAAGTTTCTTTGCTGTATTTTCTGCACAATTTCCCATATGGACCTTATTATATGGATCAAATAGACCGTCATGCACAATGCCATCAATTAAATTGACACCTCCGTAGGGCAGAGGTACTCTCTTCAAATAATAAGGAACATTTGACATCGATTCCATACCACCAGCGACTGTATATTTTTGAATTATTACAGAATCCTAAGTTAAATGAGTAGAGCATTAATAACTCACCGATAATTTCTTGGCCTTGACCAAGCATCAGAGTTTGAGCTGCAATACTAATAGACTTCATTCCACTGCTGCAAACTTTGTTGATTGTTGTACAACATACTTTTGTTGGTAATCCACCGAAAATAGCTGCTTGACGAGCTGGGGCTTGACCTATTGAATTTAAATTAAAATATCATTAAAAACCAGACAGTGACGTAAAATGATGTGAGGTAATAATTTATATTCTGGATTATATCATATTATTACCCATTCCAGCAGATACAACATTTCCCATAACAACTTCATCGATATCATTTTTGTCAATCCCAGCTTGTTTAATTGCGGAATCAATAGCTATTCCACCCAGTTGACTAGCTGATAAACCAGATAATGTTGACTGGAAAGATCCAATTGGTGTTCGTGTGGCAGAAACAATGACTACATCATTGAATTTGCGACTGCTTGAGAAATATCTCTGAGCTAATCGTATTGAGAACGACATTTTTGTAAAAGCTATGGTTATTTAATAGATTTTTTTTGTAAGTCTTATCACACAAAATGAAACTCCTGAGAACCGAACGAGTGATGATCTACTTCTCCGAAATATTAAAATGTCGAAATTTTTTGTGCTTTTTTTAAATGTTATTATCTTATAAATAGCATTTACTTTTTAAGTTTTTTGACTAAAATAAAATGTTTAGTAAATTGTAGTATATGCTTTAAACACGTGTGTCAATATGCACACTTTAAATAAAGCTCACAATTATGTTGCACACATGTTTAACGTTTGTTTCAAATCTTGAAAGGCTTATGATGTCAAATTGCATATGTGTAGTTATTATGAATCTTTATGCTTAATACGTCGGCCTATTTGTAAGTATTTTGAAACAGCTAGGTATGGGGGGGGGGGGGGGGGGGGGGGTTCCTTATTTGTCAATAAATTATATTATCTAGTGTTTGCTTTAAAAAACTCTTGAAAATCGGTTTGAAGAAAAATTCATGTCTTAACTTTCGTTTAGGAAATGATTATATGCTTGATATGCGCCTTTGTCCACTGTATTATTGCTGCTCGAACTTAATAAAATCTTTTTTTTTTCAGAAAAAATATATATTTAAGATGGAAATATGAATACAGACTTTGAAACGAACGATTTGAAGCGAATCGAAAATAGATTAAGGACTTTCGATAATTGGCCAGTAAATTTTATCGATAAATATGAACTAGCGCGAGCAGGTTTGATGCATTTTTATATATATAGTTTTTTATTTTCATTACTTTTTTTATCAATTGTTTTAGGATTTTATTATTTAAATAATTCGGATCAAGTGAGGTGTGTCGAATGTGGAGGAGTTATTGGACAATGGGAAATAGGAGATGTGCCATTTATTGAGCACAGAAAATTCTTCCCAGAATGTCCTGTGGTACGTCAAAGTGATGAAGACATAGGTATTCAAGTGCGTAGTCCAAAATATCCTGAGTTTTCAACAATAGAATCGAGAAATCGTTCTTTTTCTATGTGGACATCAACAGTTCAGGATTCTACTATTCTATCACAGGCTGGATTTTATTATTTAGGATCAGGTGATGAAGTAAGCAAACCATTTTTATTGCGTCATGACGAACATACATACAAGACCATATAAAAAGTATACTCATGCAAGTTAATTCAACTGAGAATGCTCATGAGAACATTCCAAATGTGCTCACTAAAATTTCTATACAAAAAATTTATGAGCTCAAATGAGAATTTTCAATGAGTACACTCATCAGAATAATTAATGCTTATATGAGCATAATTATTGAGTATGTTATTATAAGCATACTCACTTCTATGTGACACAAAATTTTTAACATTCTCATATTAGCATAGGGGCCATTCACTTATTACGTAACGCTTTTAGGGGTAGGGGGGGGTCTAAGATTTTGTAACAAGGAAATTTTTTTTTCATACAAATTTTGTTACGAGGGGGGGGGGTCTAAGAAGTCATTTTTTCGCGTTACGTAATAAGTGAACAGCCCCATACTCAAATAATTTTTTTTTTTAATTTTGTATTCTCATGGGTATTCTCTGAGTATGCTCATTGTTTGTTATGTTCATAATGTTTTCATTAATCAATTATACCTAAAAATTTACCTTTAAAGGTTCGATGTTTTTATTGTGATGGAGGGTTAAGAAATTGGTTAATAGGTGATGATCCGTGGGTTGAACATGCTCGCTGGTTCCCAAAATGTCCATTTGTAATTCTGGTAAAAGGACCAGCATATATAAAGAATGTTTTAGAGAGGACACAAAATTCAAATCAAGGAATCATTTCATCAGCTCCAAATGCTCCTGTTTCAATTGATGATGCGATGGTTAGTCAACCAGCTCAAGATGCTTTACAAATGGGATTAAATGCTGGCCGAGTACGCTCAGTAATGCAAAGAAGATTACAAATGACAGGTAGACCATTTAATAACACGGAAGCGCTTGTCGCAGCTGTGTTAGATGGTCAGATCGAAGATGAAGGATATGATCATGATCACGAGACTGAAGGACAAATAGAAAGTCAGGTTACAGAACTCTTACTTTCAGCCGTTTCTTCAGTAGCATTCAATTCAGATAATGTCGAGCAGGCCACAACAAGTTCGAGTTCCGAAACAGTAAGATCCTTCGTACCTGATAATATCATAAGAAAGCCACCGATTTCGGAAACATCACCAAAGTTACCTACAACAAATGACATGTCTTTTAGTGATGGAGATGAAAGGCGCCTCAAAAATGTTGAATGTAAAATTTGTATGGCTGAAGAAATGGGAGTTGTTTTTCTACCTTGTGGTCATCTTTTATCCTGTGTTTACTGTGCACCTGCTATTTCTCAATGTCCATTATGTAGGGAGACTATACGCGGTCGAGTGAGAACTTTTCTCTCATAAAATAATAATAAAAATATTTACATACATATTTAGTATATAATACATCGATATAATGGATATAATATAAAAAATAATTCACAAAGTATAGCACGATGTGAAATTTCTCTTTAAAAATTATCAATCAATTCTAAGCATTTAGTCAACTGCTTATTATAGTACTTACTAAAACACTTGATGTTATTAATGCATGTTTCAAGTGAGTAAGTCTGAAATCAATCAACTATTTAGAATTTACATAGTTGCAATCTGCACTTGTATGAATCTTTAAACTTTTATTTTATGATTTTTTGACATATAGAGAAGAAAAAAATGATATAACAAAAAAAATAAATAAAAGAGTTTAATTAATTTATAAAAATACAAATTTTTTTTCCTCTAGCATGATACTTAATTAATTAAAATTTCAAAAAACTAGTGTATCGGGTAGAAACCCAATGCGGATTATATTCACACCGTACTATCATAAGTCTTATGGATAGACCAAGATTTGCCCATCATAAGTATGAAGGTATGAAGCTTGATAAGTCAACTAAGCTTCGCTCAGCATAAGTTTGAAGTTATAAAGCTATCGCGTAAGCTGAGCTACGCTCAGCATAAGTTTGAAGATATGAAGCTAGAGAGGCAGCTGAGCTTCGCTCAGCATAAGTTTGAAGTTATAAAGCTATCGCGTAAGCTGAGCTACGCTCAGCATAAGTTTGAAGATATAAAGCTAGAGTGTCAGCTGAGCTACGCTCAGCATAAGTTTGAAGATATGAAGCTAGAGAGGCAGTGGAGTTTCGCTCAGCATAAGTTGAAGTTATAAAGCTATCGCGTAAGCTGAGCTACGCTCAGCATAAGTTTGAAGATATAAAGCTAGAGTGTCAGCTGAGCTACGCTCAGCATAAGTTTGAAGATATGAAGCTAGAGAGGCAGTGGAGCTTCGCTCAGCATAAAAGGTATAAAGGTATAAAGCTTGACGAATATGCCAAATATTCTTTAAAAGTTTTTTAAAAAAATTTTCATCCAAAGTTGAATTTTATAAAAATCACAGTCAACTTTTCTTTTAAAAAATTCGTAAGAAAGGAAAGTTTTTTGCCATTTCTGAAGCAACGGCTGTTCCTACCTTGCCCAAAAACAAAACAGCTCTTCTATAGAGCAGCACGGATCAAATGTAAAAAACTAGAAGTCTCTACGATGTCTCGTTATTGAGATTTCTTGCTGATTAACTTGCTTGCTTGCTTGCTTGCTTGTTTGCTTACAGAAAGCGTATTTTGCGATTTTCTCAGCAATGCCACAACCAATTTGAAATCTGTTTTTTGAAAATGATGTAAAATTTCAGGCACAAACTTTTCTACTTGCCCTTTTATAACCAATTTTGCTTTGTTTTCTCACAAAATGCGAAAAACTGATTTTTCAATCTGAACAAAACCAATAGATTCACACGTGAAAACGGTGTGAATATAAAAAACATCTTTTAATGAAGTCATTTTTAACCAATTCGGAGTAATGTTTGCAAACATGATATCAACTATGAAATTTAGTATGGCTTTAACGGAATAATCACGCGTGCGAATCTAAATATAATCTTCAACATGTGAATTTCACGGTTTTTACACAGTTTTGAACAGACACTTTAAGAGTAAGCGAGATGATCAGTAATAAGAGAAGGAAACAGAGGAGAGACATAAGCATCATATCTGCGTGTGTATTTGATTAAAAAAATTCTTAATTTAAAAAAGACTTGCGGGAAAATGTATGAAGGCGAGAAGAACACATGTCTTTATAGCAAACTCAGTCTTGTCTGAGACAGACTTTAGTTAAGTTGTGTGGTTCCATTATTCGTAAATTATTAGTATATCTAAATTGAAATTTATCCAGTTCAAATCAGTTTTAGAGATAAATTAGGCCAATAATGTCCAGTATACGATTTACGAGTTTGTTGTGTCGACCACTTTTTATTAATGGTAAAATCATTAGACAGTTCTCGAGTCAGCGAGCACCAAAAATTCTAATCACAGGTGAATAAACCTAATTCTTTAATGAACATTAAAAGTTGACATGTAAACATGTCCTTAATTCTGACATAATTGGGTAATAAAAAAGGAAATTAAAATAATCTTGAGAAATAAAATTTGCTCAATTCAGAAATAAAAAGATACACATTGAGAAAAAAAACGCCTTAGGAATGTCTAAAAATAAAATTTTGACAAAAAAAGAAAAACATTTTCCTTGAAATAAGAAATTTGGCATATATTGATGTACATTAAGCTTACGTCAAAACAGATTTTTCCTTCAAAATTAGAGGCTCGTCTGATTCTCAGTCAGCCTGTATATAATTGTTTCAATTTATAAGTGAACATATTGAATTGAATGAGGGAAAAAAACTCAAACATCAACGAAATCTTGACCTTGATCTTCAATTTATTTAAATGCTTTAATTTAATGTTTAAATTTTAGGAGGTTTGGGACAACTTGGAACACAATGCGCACGCTTGTTGCGTTCAAAATATGGAAAGAACAATGTAATTCTTTCTGATATAATTAAACCTAAAGAAGAGATTGTAGAAGAGGGACCATACATTTTTGCTGATATTTTGGATTTTAAAGGGCTCCAAAAAGCTGTCGTCACGCACAGAATTGATTGGATTATACATTTGTCAGCTCTTTTAAGTGCAATTGGAGAACAAAATGTTTCACTAGCGGTTCGTGTCAATATTGAAGGCATGCACAATGTTCTTGAATTAGCAAAGCAATATAAATTGAGAATTTTTGTGCCATCAACAATTGGAGCTTTTGGACCAGATTCGCCACGAAATCCAACACCCAATTTAACTATCCAGAGACCTCGTACTATTTATGGGGTCAGTAAAGTTCATGCAGGTATTTTTACTTTCATATAAACTTCCTTTATTTATATTTTGAGCCTATAGTAAGTTTACATATTTTTTTTAAGAACTAATGGGAGAATACTATCACCATAAATTTGGAACAGATTTTCGTTGTTTGAGATTCCCAGGAGTAATCAGTGCTGATGAACCAGGTAAATCTCTCGAATAGCATTTAATATTTTTAACCGCATTTGGTAGCCATGATTACCCTAAGAGTTGTTTAAAACGTTCTAAAAAGAGTAAAGTTCCCAAAGATTAAGAAAAACTTTAGAAATTTGGCTTAAACTTTATCTGTTGCTTCAAAGATTGAGTTTTCACATTTGTGAAGTTTATAATTTCATACAAAAATCAAAACTTTATTGTTTTTTGATAATTCGTAGATTTCAAATCTAATTTAAGTTTAAAAATTGATATTGGTTATGGATATTGAGCAGAATAAGGAATTGTAGGGCCTTAACTTGATTGTAGCGTTCTGAAGGTTGAAAATATACTTTTAGGAATTTAAGATCTTTTAATTAAATAAAAAACAGATTTGAATGATTTATGGTGGGTTTTGAGATAAATAAATCATTATGGTTTTTGTTTTTTACGTAAAACTGGACCCGTTACGGGCTCATAACCACTGGTTATTAATGAAATAAAAATACAATTCTTTACAATCAAAGGTGGTGGAACTACAGATTATGCAGTTGCTATTTTCTACGATGCTTTAAGAAGGGGACAATATAATTGTTACCTCAAACCAGACACTATGCTGCCAATGATTCATATTAAGGATTGCTTGAGGTATGTACTTATTTGTAGGCCCTTCACACATAAAAAAATATATTTTTTTAAAATTATGTAGATCATTATTGGAATTTATGACTGCTCCTGAAGAAAGTTTAAAGCATCGTTGTTACAATGTCACTGCCATGAGTTTTACTCCAGAAGAACTTGCTGAAAAAATTTCCAAATATATTCCGGAATTGAAAATGTCTTACAACATAGACAGCAGACAACTTATTGCGGATGATTGGCCACAAGTATTTGATGATTCAGAAGCAAGAAAAGATTGGGGTTGGAAGCATGAATATGATTTGGATAAACTTGTCGAAGATATATTGCAGCAAGTTAGGGGGAGAATAAGGGCTTGATAAAAATTGCATTTGAAAAAATTCCTAGAAATTGCGATTGAAATTTAATGCATTTCTTAAAACAAAAACTAGGTAAATGTAGAAAATTAACATTCTTTGATAAACAAACATCCTTAAACACTTTAAATCTTTTCAATAACCAACAATCTCGAAATGTCAACTTGGGTTAACTCCATTATATTATTTCAGTTGCATTTGCATTTTACTTTATGATATTATGTAAACTATTACAGCAAAATATGTTCTTATTATTAACTACAGTTAAATTTTTGAAGAAAAAAAATCGTGATTTCAAAATTATTTTTATTTTTTAAAACACAGAAAAAAAGAAAACGACAATAAACAATGAAAGTTTATGACTAACAAGTTAACAACAAAATTCTTTGAATTTTCGTGAAAGGTTGTCATGGTTTCAGTCTATTGATGATTTTTTGTTTTGTTTTTATTTTCAAAGAATCATTTAAATTAATTTTCATCACTGTTTTAAAATGAGTTTCACAAACACCCCAATATCATATCTTGATGAAAATAAATATGATTCTGATCGTCTTCTTGCTATGAAATACATAAAAGAACGCGAAGAACGTGCATCTACTGTTCAAAATATATTGGCTCCAATAACACAACAAGATGAATTTATTTTTGATATTTCTCGAAATGATGATGGAAGTGACATATCCGAACTATCAGATCCATTTGCAGAGCTTGGTGGAAATATTGTGATGAGTGCCGAGAATAAGCAAAAGAGAAGATTAAGTAAAGTCGAAGCAGATACTTTGGTAATGAACTCCTTCCCTAGATCCCACATGGAAATTCAAAATACTTTTCTAAAGGAATTAACTCAAGTGAAAGCTCCACATATCGATATAGAACAGATTATGGAAGATAAAGAGAAAAGTTTTGAGAGTGAGGATGATGAAGTTTTACAAGAGGTCGCATCTTCTTTAGAACAATGTGGTTAGACTCATTAATTTTAGGTGTCTCATAATACAATTTAAATTGTTTTTAGGATTAAAAAATCACTTGGAAGAAAAGAAGAAAAAAGAAGAACGACAAAAGCTGCTCCAAAAAACGAGATCAAAGAAAGTAAAAACAGTAGATGACCAACAATATGATACAAACTCGTTGTCTGGAATCTGGAGGATGTTGGATGCGGCATCGATGAATGATTTTCCTATTACTCAACATGGCTACAATTTTTATGAGGATAATAAAACTTGGGTAAATCCTGCTGAAAAATCATGGGAACAAAAAGAAGAAATTCGTAAAAAGTGTGAAGAGTGGTTAAAAAATATTAAACAATAAATCTTAATCATAACATAAATGACACTAATTTAATAAAAGATAACATTTCAAAATTACATACTTTTATATTTTTATATATATATATATATATATATATTGTATATATATATATTGAGGACGTACTGATTTTGCGTAATTTTTTTTGTTTGAAAATGATTAGAAAAATCTTATCAGTTCCCAACCATATGATAACTGTTTATCAAATTTCGATAATTCTCGCGGTTCAATTTGTATGTATGAAAATTAAATTACTTGTAGTGTTTTCTTCGTCCAACAGACATCGCAATGAGTATTTCAAGGGTTAAAGAAGAAATTGATGAAATAATGGAGGAGATGGAAGCAGCAACACCAAAATTTTTCGACAAATTAAAGACTTTTAATGCATTTCAAGACAATGTGTCAGATACTGTAGATGCAAACAGATATGAAGGTTCAAACTTTTTCTCTTCAATTTTCACAAAAAAGCTGCCTGATACTGAGAAGCCAGGTCAAAAATATCCAAGTAAACCAACGAATGAACGTTATTATGACTTTACTAACTCAAACGTAGGGTTTGCATTAATTTTTAACCAAGTGAAAATAAAAGGAGAGTCAGAAAGGAAAGGATCAGAAAAAGATGCAAAAGATCTAGCACAAGTTTTAAATGAGATTGGTTTCACAGTGAGAATTTGTACAGATTTTTCGTCAAAGGAAATTTATCAAAACCTTTATACTTGTAAGTCTAAAGATGTCTCTTTGTATAAAAAAATAATTAACCACTCAAATTATGACAAATACTTTATAATTTTAGTATCACAACAAGACCATTCTGATAACGATTGTTTGTTGATAACGATCATGACTCATGGAAAGCGTGATGGCAAAATATTTTCTAGTGACGGAGAAATTTTAGTGAACGATTTATGGGAAAATTTTCTTGGAGACAAATGCGAGACCTTGATTGGCAAACCAAAGCTTTTCTTTATTCAGGCATGTCGTGGCACATCTACAGACCCTGGAATTCTTCTGAAACCAAAGCCACCAATAAGAGCTGCTACTTTGGCCGATACAGTAGATGCAAAAGCAGTTAAGGAAGAATTTTTTGTTCTTCCTACTTTAGCAGATCTTTTAGTCATGTATTCAACAGCTGAAGGATTTTATTCTTTTAGAAATCCTAAAGATGGTTCATGGTTCATTCAGGTACGCTGTTTCTTAATATTTCATTTAAACTTGTGCTTATTTATTGACGTTTTAGGCTCTCTGTGAAGAGCTGAGAGAGAACTCTCATGAAGAATTAATGACAATATTAACAGGTGTCAACCGTCGGGTTGCATTTGCCAAACAATCATATGTTCCTCATATCCATGAACTTGATGCATCTAAACAAATGCCAATTATTCAATCAATGCTTACAAAAGGTTTCTATTTTGTGAAAAGGCAGCAAAAACTAAAACTTTTACTACCAAAAGATCCTCTAATTTAAAATTTCTTATTTAAAGTCAAACTTGTGGAATCTATAGATTAACATAATATCGCAATAGTGCTCCAATAAAAATCATAAAACACAATTCTCAATTTGTGACACATCGACCTTATTTTGTGTAATTTTAATTAGTATTAAATTGATTAAGATAGTGTGTCATATCCGAAACAGTTTTCTTTGTGTTGAAATTGATAAGATATAACCGATATAACAATGAAATAAATAATAAATGAAAGTACTTCATATTATTAGTATCTGTAAATCGCTTGTTACGAATTGTTGCAAAACTTCTAATCTACAATGAGTGTTCAAAAAGATGCCAAAAATAAAAATTCCAAAAGTTTAAATACAGGATATACTTATAATGAATTGAGGGTGTTAAAAGAAAAAGTTGAAGATGTGTTTTATAAAAATAACTGTGAAAAAGCTGGAAGAGCTATAATATTCAATCAAATTGAATTTGATGAACATGATCATCGATTGGGTGCTTATAAGGATAGCGACAACTTAAATACAGTATTGAAAAGTTATGGATTAGAAGTGGAAACACATACTGATGCCACTAATGAAGAAATCGATGAGAAATTAAAATTAGGTAAGAACCAATGTTACTTTCTCTGGAAAAAAATCATGCAGTTTTCTGCTTAAAGATAAGAGTTCTTAAAATCAAACGAAAAAGTTCTTTCAACGAAAAATGGAGATAAGATTATGAAACGATAAAAAACTCAAGCAAATGACAACACCCTAAACTACTTAAAGTTAGATCTGTGCCTTATAATACAAAAAGTATAAAGCTCAGATCTAGATCATTGTAGATTGGGAAATATAAATGAAATTAAGTTAAAAAAAATTATTTAATATTACAGCATCTCGAGATGATTACTCTGCATACAATTGTTTAATTGTTATCATGATGTCTCATGGAGATGAAAACAAAAACATCTTTACAAGAGATGGTTCAGTTGAAGTAGATTCACTATGGAAATTTTTTACGGGCGATAGATGTCCAACTCTTTGTGGAAAACCAAAATTGTTTTTTATTCAAGCTTGTCGTGGATCGACACCTGACTTTGGTGCATTAATAGAGGAGCAAAAGCGATTTAATAAAAATCAAAAGGAATCGTTGCAAAGCAATACGGTGAGTGCACAAAGTGTTCCGATTATGGCAGATATTCTAGTCATGTTTTCAAGTGCTGATGGATTTCCTTCATTTAGAGAAGTAAACTATGGCTCATGGTTCATAGAAGCACTGTGTGAGGAGTTAAAAGCATATTTAAAAAATAATACAATTCAAGATGTTGATTTAATGTGGATTTTAACTGGTGTGAATAGATATGTAGCATTTTCAAAAGAAGCTTATGATCCAGAAGGAGATTCACATGGTCACAAACAAATGCCAGTTATTATGTCAATGCTGACAAAAATATTTTATTTCAATAGATCACATATGAAATTGACTTGTGAATTAAATGGAAGTCATTAATTGTTTTTTTCAATTGGAATATCTAAAATATTATTTTTCATTTATGTATATTAATTATTTAATAAAATGCAAATAATACAATTACAATAACAAAACAATTATTATTACGAAAATTTCGAGATGAATTGATAAGTGATGTGGAATTGCTGATTAAGTCTGATGATTCGTATATGTCTTCTTCAGAAGTTGTATTTTTTAATAATATTACATCGTTTGAATTTTCAACTAATGTAGCTGCAGTTGTGTATATCAATGCTTCTTTAATATTTTCTAAATTATTTCCAGCACCAAAAGGTTTACTTTTTGAAAATTTTCCTAGTTCTTGTTTTAAAGCTTCAATTCCTCTTGGTCCCTTTTCATTGACAAGCTTGGTTCTTTTCATGTTAATCGAATTATGACAACGTGACTCATATTGAAAAATACACATTGCGTAGGCTACAGCATGAGCTAAATAAGTTTGATCAAATGATCCGCTAAATAAAAAGTTTGCCATTTGTCCGATAGCGTAAACTGGAACATCATCTGCTGCATGATTAGCCCAAGTTGACGCTATTGTTGCTTTATGATAGGAATTTCGATAGTCATGGATCGCTGCAGTCTCATTGTAATTTTGATAACCCAATCCGCTGCTATATGTCAAAAGTTGATAAGGTTTGCCATCAACATTTGACACATATTTATCCATTCCTAAGACAGTTAAGTTCTTTGGCGTAGCAAATCCTGAATAGCTCATTGCTGACGCATGATCAGATGTGACAATAACTAGTGAATTTGATAAGTCTAAAACGAAACAATTGGTTCTGTTTTTAAGCAGAGTTTTCAACCAAGAAATGACTTATTACCAATAATCTTCAAAGCTTCATTGATAGACTCATCGAGCTGTAATGTATCATCAAGTGCACGAAAGGCATTATTGTAGTGATGTGCTAAATCTATTTTCCCTGCTTCTACAATCAATAAAAATCCTCTCGTATTATTTCTTCTCAATATTTCAATTGCAGCTTTTGTCATTTCTGCTAATGATGGTTCAATCTCTCTGTTGCGATCTGCATTAAATTGCATGTGTGATTTTGAAAAAATTCCTAATAAATATTCTGTATAATCAGAAACATTAAGTAGTTCATTTCTTGTTGTTATAAACTCTCCATTCAAATGAGAAGTCACCCATTCAGCAGTTAAATTTTTTCCATCCTTTCGACGTCCACCTTCAACATTTTCAGGAATAAAACTTCGCATCCCTCCTCCCATGATGACATTTATATTTTTCCCCGTATCATTTTCAATCAGCTGTCTCGCAATGTCTTTACAACCAAATGAATCAACTTTTGAATCATCTTCAATATGACGACGTGAATGAGCATACAAAGTAGCTAAAAATTTTCATATTTATAAAAATTAAGATTGTGTGGGAGAGTGTTTTAAAATTTACCTGGTGTTGCGTGAGTGATTCTAGATGTCGTCACGAAACTACAAACAAAGAATATTAAATGAGGAAATGAGAGAAGATGTTGTCAAAGTGGTTATTAATTTTAAATATAAAAAGAACCGAGCATGAAATTGAGCCGACATAATGTATAAAAAAAGCATTTTGAGAATTTGACTTTATGATATACTAATCATATTAGGAATATCTATTAGCAAGCAAAATTTATTTTTAACTCACTTTAAAAGACGCGAACAGAAAATTTCAATAAAATTGTTATAAAATGAGAAACGCATGAGAAAACTAATTGACATCATAAGCAGATCATAATTCATCGAAGATGTAATTTTAAACAAGAAAAAGGCAGTCGAGAATTTATATTTTGAAAATTTCTAATTTTATATGACAATCAAAATAAAAAAGTTTTGAAGCACTTTTTGCTGAATCTACTTTAATCAACTTAAACATGCCTTCAAATGGATTTTAAATAAAACCAATTTGATTTGAATTCTACCACAAGAGAATCTTAAAAATTGCACTTTTATTATACAGAGTTTTTCAATTCCATAATTCTCTTAACTTATTAAATATGATATATGTACTAGGAAATAATTATTGATATGTAAACTAACCCGGTTTTGAGGTTTTTCTTTTGAGCCCATTCAATAACTGATGGCGCATGAGAATTAATATTTTTACAAGCATCTCTTCCCATTGAAGTTGAGTCAACACCAAGGCTTTCAAAGTTTGTTTTTACACCACAGAATAATGCAGTTGAACTTGCAGCTGACTCTGGGATTTGACTATTTATAATATCAGTTTGCATGAGCGCTGTAGCTGGAAATTCATCAAATATCATTTGTGCATTAGGATTTTGAGTAACTTGACGCTTAAGTGTTCTTGATGCGGTTATAGTACTCAATCCCATTCCATCGCCAATAAATATAATTACATTTTTCACTCGAGGAAGATTTTCCATTTGCAAGCTACGCATGCGATTTTCAACGATACTCTTGTTCTTATCGTACCAATAGAATTTATCATTGTGATTATTTGTTGGGGCATTTCGGCAATGCGCTATAGTAAGTAACAGTAAAAATAACTCACGATATATCACAGCTATTTTCATAATTTTTCTCTTTCCTTCTCTATTTTAATTTTCTTTTATTTTTTCATCAATTTTTCCTTTTCTTTGATCATATAATAGTAAAGAATATTAGATTTCTGACTTTTGAAATGTTTAGACTTTTCTTCAAATTTTTTCATTTATTAATATTTATGATTATGAATTATTTTTTCTTCATATTTTCACAATCTATCCACAAAAAAAAACATATTGTTAGTTTGGCGTTCAATGATTGACTGAGCTCAAGTAAATATACGCACGCGAGATCAGTGAAAATGAAACTCGTTGTATTTTTCTCTTTAAGTAAATTAGATGAGAAAATTACATGAACGATGAGCATTAATTATATTTTGAAAAGTCGGTAAGTTAAATTTAATCTAGTTTTACATTTTGAATCAACTTTAAATACTATTTAAATGTTTAATTAAGGAATGATTCTAATAAATGTGCCCAATTTTATAAAATAATATTCTCACCTGAAACACTTTATCCCATCAACATAATTTTATTCTTTAAACGAGTTTAAATGTATCATTTGTGATCTTGTATTTGACGAAAAACAAACAAAATTAAGAGCAAAAAAAAAATAAGAGATATTTTTAGAATAAAGAGAATTAAAATGAGAGCGGTAAACATTTTTGTATCATTTTCTTTTTTCATCTAACTCATAGACGTTCATGCCATTTAAAAGATTAATGGAACAATAATAAAAAACCCTTTTTTGTTTTGAAGAAATAGCTTAAGAAGGCTGTTTTAACCTGCAGATTTGGTTCTTTTGTTTTCTAAAATGTCTACAAAACAACAGAACGACAGAAACAACTTACTATAAAACTGCATAAAACTCAAATATATTTTAATTTCGATAAAATAATTTTTATTTCTCCAACGTTAAGATTTAACTACACTAATATTAAGTATTTTAAATAGCATTTACAAATAAAAATGTACACTATAAGAACAAAATTGTATTTTTCTATCTAATTTATGACCAGCATCCTCGATTTAATGAATTGTGACTATGTATTAACGATGGAAACGATAAGCTGGTCATTGAAGTTAAATGAGCTCCATTGAATGTTAAAGGGTTAGACATACTAGTTGCTAAAATTTCAAGTTGCTTTTGTGTTCCATTTATACATGGTTTTCCATCACGAACAAGAACAGGAACTGCAACACGACGTGGTGAATGGAGATTATTTGATGTATTCAAATTTTGGTGATGATGATGATGTTCCATTCCTTTTTCATGTGCTGCACGTTTTGTCTTGTATCGATGATTTTGAAACCAAATTTTAACTTGTGTAGGTGTCAATCGTATTAAAGATGCTAAATGTTCTCGTTCTGGCGCAGAAAGATATCGCTGTTGACGGAACCGTCTCTCAAGTTCAAAAGTTTGTGCTTTTGAGAATAAAACTCTTCGTTTTCTCTTTTTATTAATGATTCCATTCCCACCACTTGATAATGCTGAAGAATCGCCATTTCCGTGATTACTATGCTGATCATCATCATCGTCCATCTCAATTATCTCGCCACCTTCGCCATCCTCTTCAATATCAACGTGATCATTTTCTTCCGTATCTGATGGATATGATTCTGACTTTGCTGAACTAATATGTTTAACATCATTTTGTTGTTGCTGTTGAAGCTGTTGTTGTAGATGTTGAAAATATTTTCGATTTTTTTCTAAAACAGACTGATGACGAGATAGGTTTCCATATGACAGTTCTGTTAATTCACTAATTGGTGACGTATTGTCTAGACCGATCGATTGCTGTTGATGGTGATTATGTTGATGAAAAACTGTAAAATAAATAAACAGAATAGAAATTTATTATAAATAACTGCTTGTGATATTGATCCATCTGTTGCAACTTGATTTATACAAATTTCTTAATTTCATTCATGTCCCTCAAACGTATTGGTAACATGAGGATATAGTAAAATTTACAACAATGTACAAACGGACAATAGTAAGAGATCATAGTGAGAAGAAAAAGAAGTTATAGGAGGAGAAGGAAAAAATAAAAGTCAACTTAAGGATGAAACAGAAAACACCTTTCGATACCAATTCGAATGTAGTCAATGATGCTCATGAACAATAGAGAAAGACTGAATTATTATTTATTGAATTCAATAGATAGTTCCGGTGCCTTGCTGAGTCAATAGATACGTGTACGTAATAATGCTTTCGGAAAGAAGGAAGAAGCGGATGTAAATCATAAATTAAACTCGAGCTTAAACTTGAGCTTTTTTTGCTTTCAAAACTCAAAAGTGCATTCCAAAATGCCTTTAAAATTAATGGACTTGACAAAAAAAAATTTCAATGAAATTACACACGCCCCACAAAAATGCATTTTAATTGTTCTGTTTTCATTTCATTCTTCCACTAGAGAAACTTTATTCCTTGTTGCATAAAAACTGCATGAGAATGCAGATGTACATGAATGTAAAGAGCAAACAAAAGCAATTAGAGGCAAATTTATCATGAGCAATAAAAATTAAACAATTAATAATTGCTATTCAGACACAAAAATGACATGCCACAATGGGATGGAAATGCAGTAAATAAAACCGATACACAGGAGGGAATATTTCAAACGATTCAAGTTGGAAGTAATATCAAATGAAATGTATAAGAGGTATTCAATAGAGTTGAGTAGTGATTTTTGAAATGAAAGGCATTAAAAAACAGTTTTAAGTAAATAAAGGATAATAAAACATGGACGACATAACTGTTGTTGAAAAAACTCAACATCTGCCGCAGGAACTACTTCAATAGAAAGCAAATTAAATGGTAATAGAGGAGTGGAAATTGTGTAACATTCATCATCGTCACAATCACATTTGATGTGCTTTATTAAAGCATGAAATTTTTAAAATTCGAAAAATGGAAGCAAAATTTCATGGAAGTTTAGAATACAATAATTGAAATTGAATGAGGATGTGATTGAACTTACCATTTGGATTAAACCATGGTCGCATTGCGGGATGATTTTGAAAAATATGATTTGAATATTGATGGATAGTATCACTCAAGAGTTGTTGATGATGATTTGTTGATACTGAATGTCCTAAACTATTGTATTGTGGAATTTCAACATTTTCATTTCGTTTATTATGCTTTATATGCTTCATTTTTAATTTAGATTTATTTTCTCGATGTGAATCTCGTGATGATTCCTCATCTCCATTATGAGATTCATTATCATTATTTTGACTAGTTGGGGATAGACTGTGCTTTCGTTTCATTACATTCTCAACATGTTCTGATTCATTCAAAAGATTTTCTTCACTTTCGATACTTAAATTCTCTTTTTGTATTTCTAAATCATCGTCTTCATCACAATTCTGATCAATTTCATCATCACGTTTTATTTCGTTTTCCAATTTTTTATCCTGCGGTTGCTTTTCGTCCTTTTTGTCCTTATTTAATTCTAAAATATCACAAATATGGAAACCTGATGTCGGCTTTGTATTCACTGATGTCGGTAACTTCATGCTTTCAAGAAAACTGTGAATGAGACGAAAATTTGATTTAAGTATTAAGTAAAATTTTTGCAATTCAAATGGAAATGAAATCATTCCTGATCGTCGGCAAAAGTTTAAAGAAATTTGATGAAATTTTCAAGAAAAATCACTTGAAAAGGTGTAAAATTGAATTCGAGTATAAAGTTATTTTTTTGTACGTGACATGACAATGGGAGGAAGAAGAAAGGAATGAAAATAATAAAAGTTTTTAAAAGTGCATAATTTGCATTTTTTTTCCTTTATTCTCGTTCTAAAAATTTATTTCTTTTTTCAATATTGAATTTAATTTATGCAAAAATTTTATGTTATAACCATTAAATGTTCTCAGGTGCCTCACTTCACTTTATTTCATTTTCGTTCCTTCAGTTCTTCTTTGTTCCTCTTAAAGGAGATTTTTTTTTTTCATTTCGATTGGAATTTCCGATTTTTCTTTTGGGAATTTCTTAAGAACAAACATCTGGTGGACGATGAGATAGTTGTGAAGGAAAAGGAGAATAGAAAATGAAGAACTGATAATTTGCATAGCAAAAATTGAGAAGATTTAAAGAGATAAATTCTCATAATTTATGTTAATCATCATCCATCGACACTTTTTGCATTAAGCACTAAAATATGACGAAAACGAGAACAATGGAAAATCCCACAATATTGCTAATTTTTGCTTAAAATCATTAACTTCATCATTTAGCACCTGGAAGTGATTGATTTTTAAGGAATTCTTTTTTTTATATTTCAATCAAAAACTTACTTTGGTAATGATCTAAGAGCTGCTGGGTAAAAAGCAGCTGGTAAGAGACCAGTTGGATTCCATGGTGGAAATAAAATTGGAGCCCATGTTGACAGTGCCGGCGGACTTGACGCTGGTGGCATTTTCGTAATAGTATTATTATTATTATTGTTGTTATTTATAATCAATTTTACACAATTTTGATCTTTTTGTATTGGAATTTTTTTCTCATCCAAATGATCCAATGCTTTATTGGTCAATGTTGGTGATGAAGATGTTTTTTCTACTTCGTTTGCCACTTTGAATGATTTTAATTCAATCTGGATATTTCTCAAAAAAAAAATTAAACTTCTTTTCAACAATATTTCACTTAATTTCTTCTTTAAATAATGTTTTATTCACTTCATTCATTGATGTTCCTTCCTTCTTCTTATCATCGAAATATTTTATTAAATTAAAATAAAATCTTTAACACATCACAATATATCTATAGTCTAATGATGACTTAACAGTTAATTCAAGTCCTCAGATAGATTTTTAAGATTCTACAATTTTAGCTGATATGCTCTGCCTCATGTGCTTTCACTTCAAATCAATTCACTTCACTGAAGTACACTTTAAGAAGGACGTTCGTTTTTCTTTTTTTCTTCTTTTTTAAGTGGCTTTCTTTAGCCCTCACTCAGTCGCACTCAAAACTCGTTGCCTGTCTCGAACTATCGAAGAGAGAACATAAAGTAACATAAAAGTATAACAAACATACAATACAATTTTCATTGCAATGAAGGGCGACGTAAAGGATAGGAAGATAAGAGAAAAAGAGAGAAGGAAAATTTTCAGCCAATCAGCATCAACACTCATAAACAACTGGGCGTGATTTCATTGAGGACACTTTACATGCATCATTTATTTCTTCTTCTTCTTTCTCTTTCATCATTTCGTCCTCGTTCGCTCACTCAATTTATACAATTCAGTCTTTTTCTCCTTTCATCCTTTTCATTGTTATGAAAGCCCATTGAGGACCCTCATTGCCATTCTCATAATTGAAATTTATATCGTGTAACGTTTTGTTTTGTGAATGGAATTAAAGACCCGTTTTTTTTCAGTATCATAAAATCATCAAAGCAAGAAAAGTATTTTGCGGGACGTGAACATATTGTACAACAATGCGAAAAGTTGTTCTATGTATAAGTATGCTAACAAATATCAAGCTAGAGTTATTCATAGCTACATAGATTACACTGAGTCAAGGATTTGATGCATAATTCTTTACGCCACTTCCATTATGAGTCTTTTTTATTATGTAATTCTGTAGCAAAATAATGGGGAACGGCTGATGTAAACCATGCAAAAACTCA